GGTAGGCATCAACTTGAAGGTACATAGGCATCAAGGCAAATATTGGTGCTGGTACTGGCACTCTCTAGAAAACGCGTACTAAGCAGCAGTGACCTACCAACTCAAATTGTGTGGTAATTTTTTTTTTTTCTCTTCCAGAAAAACGAAAACGATCCAGAAGCGTCAGAAGCTCGGGGCAGTTCCGTAGCTGGTGGATATTCCAGACTATTTAGCATGGCAACATGCCGCCCACCTGAGTGTACCTGCGGGATACTTTGGCTGTGGCTCTCCTGGGCCCTGCCAAGAGCATGTCTTATAGTGGCATTTCGTCTAGCGATGCCCGGCCCAGCTAGTACCCAATAGGTCCCTTTTCTCGTCCCCCCTTGCCGCTGTGGAGGGGCACCAATCCAATGGCAGCACAGTTTGTGCGGGGTCGCGGCTGGCCTCTTCCCTTCTTCCTCATGATGGCTGCTCCAAGACGAGACGCTAATTACGAAATACCCAGAGCTGCCAGAGATTTGCGCGAACGGCTGGCAGCTGAAGAATAGCCCGACGGTCAACAGCTAGCGGTGCTCCATAGCAGCCTGGCCCCAGTGCCGGATATCGCTCGTTGGGCACAGGTAACCAGAGCCAGCCTTCATTCCATGGCGCACCCTCTCCACGGGCACTTTCGCCAGTCTCCAGCGGTAACTGACATATCAAGCAGCAGACGCTCTCGTACGATTTGCGCGCGGGTATGAATATCGTTTAGCAGTCCTTCAGCGCGTGGTTGGTACTGCAGTGCTCCTGTGCCTAGCCCTGCCGGCCTTAGCGAGAACCAGCGGCGCCGGAGCTGAACAAAGATCTCACCTGCTATCCCACTTGCATGATAGCTTTCTGCCTCCTACATCACCGGTCTCCAGCCTGACCAGACGTCGACCAACCCGAAGCATCTGGCACCAACTGCGTCGTCAGCAGCCCGGTCAGACGCCGTCACTGCAGCGTTTTTCTCGAGTATCACCGAGGCCACAAGGTTCCTCTACTGCAGCAGTCCCGGTCTCTGCACAGCCTCGTTGGTCCCCCGTCTCTGCTCGATGATTTGACACCCAACCCGAACGAGCCCCGACAGAGAAAGACCCCCCAGAAAGGTCCCCTCCATCCTCTCGCCGCCAGTCCCATTCCCAAACTCTACCGGCCAGCATCGCCTCGCCTCGCAGCACCAGACCAGGTCCAGCCCTATACCCACGGCAAACCCACCGCGTACCTGGGCACCCGCGCCCGCTCGTGGCAGTACGAGTCGCAGCTTGTCTCTCTACCACCACTACCGTGAGTCTGAAACACTATTCGGACTGTGATTCGCACCACTATACGCGTTCCCTGCTGTGATAGGGCCGCGCCCCAGCACCTTGCATCGCTGCCGCCAGTGCACAGCCTCCCCGCTGTAGCTTGGAAGGCTGACTGTGGAATCTGCCTCGCAAGACGAGAAGCACCAGTGCTCGGCCGCCATCATGGATCAAGAATCCCAGCGCGGAAGGTCGCTGTCGGCCAGTAACTTTCAGCAGCCTGATATAAACCAATCTCACTCGCCGACTCGGAGCCCGTTCGCACCCACAAGCGATCAGCCTTCCGTCGGTCTTGGACTTGGTATCGGCGTCGGCTTGGATCCGTCGCAACAACAACAACAGCAGCAGCAGCGACAACAACAGCAGCCGCAGCAGCATCGAGCATTCACGGCATCTCTCCATCCAAACTTTGACTCATTCAACGCCAGCGGCTTCCTCGGCGCACAAGCCAGCGCTGTCGACTCGACTACCGGCTTTGACCCCAGCGCAAGCTTCGGACAGCAGCCGCAAGCTACCGGTGCCGACTCCACCCCGTCTTTGAACACTCAGGCGCAACATAATTATATCTCTCCTAATCTCCCTGACGGCGATTTTTCTCTCTTCCCTTCGAGCGCTGAGCAAGGAGATCAATACAGCGCCCCTCTCTTTGAGCAGCCTGCACTTGGCGATATCAATGCCATGACCTCCCCGCACTCGCATCAGTCTCCAACCCCGCCACGGCTCTTACAGCCAGACAGCCTTCAGTCGCCTCCATTCAGCCAACATCAGTTCTCGTCGCCGCCATCGACTCACTCGAGGAACGCTTCTTTAGGACCCGAAGCCGCGCTTCTCCCGAGCCAGATCGGCGACTGGACTCAACCTCAGTTCCAAGGTCATCGACGAACGCCTTCGGAGTTCTCCGACGTCTCCTCTGTAGCTCCTTCGCCTCATCTTATCAGCTCCGACACATTTGATCCTGATCCTTCAGGCCATTCGCCCCTGCAGAGGCCTGCAGACGCCAGCCTTTACCAAGAGGTGCTTGGTATCGGATCGTTCAGCCTAGCTGACCACGGCAGTCCTGGTTATCATGGTCGAAGCCCTTCACATAGCCCTGCAATCAGTCCTCGCATAATGCCACAGCAAATGCCGGAGACTATCCAGCCCTCGTTCAATCTGATTCCACCGAATGCCACGTACGAGGGAGCTTCTGGATATCCCGATTTGCAGCCGAACCACGAGACTTTCCCATCACTGCAAGGCGGTATGGGTGGCGGCGATATGCACCAAATGGCGCCGCCAGCAATCAACATCGACTTTGCACCAAACAATACAAGACCAGGCGGCTTTGAGCCGCCCAAGTCTCAAATGGACCAAGATTCCCTCACTCCTCCAGAACGAGGTAAGCCTTTTTTGATGATTTTATGATTTATGTTACTTGACGCATAGGAAATTAATTCGTTATTGCAGGCCGTCCGAAATCTCGGCCACGTGCGGTCACTGACCCATTCCACCCGGGAATGCTACCTCCTAACAATCTAGGACCCTCTCTTGGTGTTGATCTTACGACCCGTTCAGATGCATCCCGATCTTTATCTCCTCTCGATAGGCAGTCAGTTGGATCATCAGCCTCCAGACGGCGACAGTCGACCTCCTCAGTGCCAAACAACGTAATCGCTTTGCGCTTGGCTGACCCGGAGTATCAAAACAGCCAGGAAGCAGGATCCAATAAGCGCACACAGAAGCACCCGGCCACGTTCCAGTGCAACCTGTGTCCCAAACGATTCACGCGCGCCTATAACCTACGATCACACTTACGCACTCACACTGACGAGCGACCGTTTGTCTGTACAGTCTGTGGTAAAGCCTTTGCTCGACAACACGACAGAAAACGACATGAAAGTTTGCATTCTGGAGAGAAAAAGTTTGTTTGTAAGGGAGACTTGAAGACTGGTGGCCAGTGGGGCTGTGGCCGACGATTTGCGCGGGCCGATGCTCTGGGAAGACACTTTCGATCCGAAGCAGGCAGAATCTGCATCAAACCATTGCTGGACGAAGAAATGATAGAAAGGCAGCGCCAGTGGCAGGAAGAGCGGATGCAGCAGAATATGGCACAGAACATGGCTGGCCAGCAAGTCATGGCTATGGACACCGGCCCAGCTTATCCCATGGATGCTAGTGGGAACTATACCCTTCCACAGGCCCTGTTGGCCCAGTATCCCGCACTGGCGCAGATGAACTGGTCAACGACCGACATGGGAGGCGGACTGGATGATGAGCTGAGTGGGAGATCATCGTTTGATGCCAGCGACTACGACGATGGTGACGATGGCGGCTACATCAGTAGCTCTGGAGCAAGATACCCCGAAGAAGGCATGAACCAAAATTATGCCGAGATGAGCTATACCGGCGAATATGGGCGCTGATTTACAATTCTTTGGATCTCTTTGGATCTCTTTGGATCTCTTCTATCACTTCTACCTTCCCCTCTTCTTGCCCCCCACTGTTCTTTTTTTTTTTTTTTTATATATATATATCACACTTTCGAAATTTTCATTATTTATCCCACAATGATGGGGTGTCTAACTACCACGCCCCCTGATGCTCGCTTCTGAATCGGCGATCTTGACTCTATCGTGGAATGGGCGGCATTCGGTAGTCTGTTAATGCGTTTGATTTTTTTTTTTTGGAAAAATTCTTCTGAGATGGCTCGGGTTATTAGACGGCACGTCGCATAGATACCAACAACTCTTTGAAGCTTATTGTTACACTGACTTCCTGCGACACCACTTTTAGTTTGGTGATGCTATTGATAAGATGTAGTCTTACCGAATAAAGCCTTGTTCATTTGTACCTGATTATGTTGATGCTGTTGATTGAGCCCTTCTGTGACTGAGATGTAAGCTAACGTATCTATTAATGTATTTGCATTTTCAATCATGAGCCTTTACAAGTGCAAGAAACCTATTGTTTTCTAACGAGTTTACGGCGATGGGTCCTGTAGAATGGGATATGCACAGAATGGCTACAAGAGGAAACAATAACATCTCTCTACTGGGAACTGTCATTTTCTAGAAAAAGTGCTTGCTTGGAGTGAGGATGAAGGCTTATCATACATGCTCTCCCTCTTTGGTATAGCTGTTGTGATGTTTATAGTCAGGAATTTGAATAGTAGTCGTATAAATAACGAAAGAAGCAAACTTTCGGCTACTCATTTAAGCTTGCTTAAAGTGTCTTCTTGTCCCTCTTTCCCTGCCAGTTCTCCTTATCTTACAATGCATGGTAAGTGAAGACGGGACAGGGGGGGTTTCTCAATGTAAAGATAGGATCTGCTTGCATACTTTTTTTTTTCTTTTGCATAATTTGGTTACAAGAAAGATTCAGCTGCATCTGTAGGGTGGAATGTGAGCTGAGCGAAGTCGGCTTACTTTCACGTCTTGTTTCGTCACTGGCCGAATGGAGGGCAGCGGTGATGACGCTGGGGTAATTATTTATGGTTCTAATGGCACATGACACCACCAAAATTGATGGCGTGATGTGAGGTTGGGGAGATGGAGAAAAAATACCTAATTTTCCCGTGTTTTAATAGAAACAACCCCGATGAACGGACGGACGAGTGAATATTGGGCTTGACCGCTCTGAAGGCCCTTGTTAGGTTGGGTTCTCCAGGGCTGCTACTCACGTCACATAGAGAGGCATACTTGTGTATGGCGGCTGCGGCGTGGCAAATGACGTTCTTTTCATCGTTGTTGCTTTCCAAGTAGTGTCTGAAAATATTTGCTTTTTGAACGACGTGATACTGCAGCCAAACTGACGATGCCAATATTGTCTTGGCAGATTCTATTCTATACCTACCTAGGCATGCATTGTTGTTTGCCAGAATACGTGCCGGATGTGTATAACTGCATAGGTATTACTCCGTATAGGTATACCATGCTCATGCTCATAGGCCTATGAGCACGCATTATTGCTCCGCAAAGGATCTGCGATCGGGAGGGGCTTTGGTCCGGGCCAGTGAGGGGCATGAGAAATCGTGACATGGTCACAGAGAATGCTGGGCAGAGCATGTGAAGTGACTCAAGGCTCAAGGTACATATCAAACATGGGCCAAGGGCTGCGATTATGCATGAATGTCGAAGATAGACAACGGCATGTCTGAGGGCCGATGAGCGGCAGGGAGCGCAGCCGGGAATCTGTATGTAGCTGGCCAGCGGTGAAGAGACAAGCAGACGACGCCTGAATGGCCTGCAGTCGCCCGCTGTAGCCCCATGCACATGGACCCTGGCCGTGCCCTACTGTACAAGTACAGTATGTGCGTGAGCGTGCTCTCGTCAAGTATGTATGTACTAATGTATGCGAGGCATGTCGGTCGATTCGATGCAAGACCCGGGCAGCCAATGGCGGCGGGCTCGTGGCCCCTAGCAAGAGCCATCCATGTACGGAGAGGGTACTTGGAGGCATGTCCCCGCCTATGCGGCGACGCATGCGCATGTACAAGTATGCGAGATTTTTCTTGTTTCTTGATCGTATTTTGCTGCAGCTGCAGCTGGGGCGGGCAGAACAGGGGCCCTGCATGCGCCTGCGTCTACAGGTGCATGTCACACGACGCAGGTGGCCCATGAAGACGACGAAGTGCTGGAGGGCGTGGGGAGAGCGTCAGTGGAGGATCGCATGGTTTTTCTTTCTTTCTTTTTTTCTTGCTGTTGTGTAGATGGCTGTTTGTGGTGTTTTGGTTTTAGGAGGATTTAGCCAGTGTGTGAGTGCGTGCTTGCTTCGTAGACTTCGTACTAGCGGATAAATTGAGATGCTCTTCTTGGGCCGCATCCCTGCAGATGCTACTCTGTGCTAATGCATCAGTAAGTTAGGAGGGATGCAAATAGCGCATGCTGCTGTAAAAGTTTGAAAAGAATACAAGTAAAAGAAGTTGAAAACATAAACAAGTAAACAAGTAAACAAATAAACAACCACTCACCAGTGGGATGCGCAGGCGTCGTGCGTTGCGCGCGCACAAAACACATGAGGCGCAGAGACGAAACAAGACGCAGCCTGCAGATGCAATATAATATAATCTCAGCTTCTTACAATGCTGTGCAGCTTGAGATTGACAATGTTTATCGATGGACGGGATGGCCCTTCGAGTCAAGCTCACAAAGATCAAAGTACATGCCATGTATTGCAGATGCTGCTGGACGAGCTCCCTTAGCTCTGCAGAGCTCAGCTCCCCGCAAAGCTACCAACGAGGTACCCAAGGGAGGCTGGGCCGCGACTTTGCATGCGAGATGGAGCAGCGCTGCTGCAGCTGTGCAGCTAAAAAGGCCGCTAGGCAGATTGGGGGTCTGGTGACAAGCGAATGGGGCCTGCAGCCCGCCCAGCCCTCCGCCAGCGCGCCGCCCTGATTGGCCGGGCCGCCGCATCTCTGTGCATCTTGGTGCTGGCGGGAAGGTGGAATTAGTGGGATTAGTGGGAGGCGTGCCTGCTCATGTGCATTTCGACCGCTCGAACCTGCTTGCCTGCTCCTGCTCTGCTCTGCGCTGCTCTGCGCGTCAAGGACAGGGAAGGAAGCGAGGCGAGGCCAGGGCAGGGCCATGACGGCAGCGTTTGTGTCACGTTGTTGCCCTCAAGCGCCTTCCAAACCTTCGCAGTATCCCTTGTCCGCCTCTGGCATGTCCCACGAGGGCTCGAGCTTGTCTATCGTAGGTCAGTCAGATGGTACCCAGTTCCGGCGTACCAGGTACCTCCAACACTGCATCTTTGCATGCTTTCACATGTGCGAGTGAGACAGAAACACTGCGCATCGCGCTGTCAATGTACGCGACAGTCTGGTAGTTCTCGGCAAGGCGCTCCCCAATCTCCACCGAGTCGCATATCAATGCCGTCGCTGCGTTGCTTCTCTGGCACGGGAGTGTGATATCGCTTGGTATTGACGGCGCATACTTACACAGATCTACCTTTCAGCAGCGCCCGCTTAGACACCATGTAGACTGCATTGATGTGTTTGACTTACTCGCAGGCACTCATTGTCCTCTATTAGTAGCACGTAGCACCCGAAAGTAGCACTCCAGACGCCGCGTCGCGCACCATCTCTCGCCGGCAGGCTCTCCTGGATATCCGCTGCCCGTGGAGGAGGGCATCCCGCGCGGCGAACTCAGCAAGAGGGTGTGAATTCGCAGCCGTCAGGACGGCCTTGTGCGACATCAAGCTGAGATACGGCCTCTTCTCCCTCGCTGCAGTGGCGATTCTAAGGCGAGGGCACCACTATCATTGGCCTCTCTGCATCGCCGCCTCGCCTCGCCTACCAAGTATCTATACACTTCTCTACTGGTGGCCAGTCACTTGTCCGGCGCGCCTTCTATGGCTCCATTGGTCGTTCCCCTGCGGACAGCCTCGCTGGAATGCTTTATGGAGGGCCGCCCATGATCCATCCCACTTATCTTGGCCATTACTTCTACAGTCCGGCTTTCTTTGGACCTATTCCATATTGGCTAGCCTTGATCCGTCTTAACTGCATGTTGCAGCGCTTCTCAGACTGCAGCTATTATATCTAACCTCGCGCGACAACTCACCTTGTACTTCCTTAGTACCGAGTAGTTGGCAGCGAACCTGGGAAAACGAGGCGGACGGCACGGCTCAAGATCGCCAGTCAGTGTCGTTGCCAAGGTGTCATCTTACCCGTTGTACATCATTACTACTGCCGAGCCAGGTATCTATCAGTTATCTTAGCTGCCGGTAGCTGCGCTTGTGACGCTTCACCCGAAGCTGCAGCTAGTACCAGAGAAAAAAAAAATTTGAGAAAAAAAAAAAAAAGTTCAGACTCAGCTTATACAGCCACCCATTTTGTGATAACACTCCCATCCCTACTTTGTCGGTACCCCGTTGTTATTTTTTTTTCTCTCTTCTCTCTTCTTCATCATATTTTTTCTTTCTTTCTATTTCTTTTTGTTTTTGCTTGTTTTGTTTTGTTCGTTCTTAGATCGATTGGTTGCTGCGATTGTTGAAAATCAAGTTTGGTGTGGCAACACAACTTACACGGCTACAGGCATTAGGCTCTTTGACCAAAAAAACCACCCTCATTTGTCTATCCAGGAACTCGGCGCGCTCCCTGTTCGACATCATATTCCCCTCTCCGTCCACGATATCGAAATTTTGTCTTCGTTTCCGCCTTATTTCAAGTGCGATCGACAGTAAGTGTGGACGCCGCCTCGGATCAGTTCTCCTCCCTTCATTCCCTTGCGCAGAGACCCTACTTCACAAAGGGAGCTCGAAATACCTTTCAATTAATTAATCTTCACCTCCGATTCTCCCGCTCTCTGATGAGACGCATAGCTTCCATGACTGCGAAACAGCCGTTCCATCACATCAGCTCCCATTGTAACAATGGCAGCCGCCGATGTCTTGGCGTTTAATCAGCTGCCGTGGAAGAGATGCGCAGAGAGCCGGTCCATCACCCAGCAACCAAATATCGCGCGGGATGAGTATAATCTCCAGGCCCGGCTGCGACTTATATCTCGAGCTTGGATCGAGTGCGGAGAGGTGCGTATTGACCCTTGCGGAGAGGAGACTCATGCATTATATAGGCATCTTTGTTGTCGTTCACGGCGTTGACCTGGGGCTTATAGCATCGATCGTTCTCAAAAGGCACATCACGGCAAGGTAGACCACTAATAGTTCCTGACTTGTTCCCACAACGAGTCGCCCGCCATCATGCAAGGCTCGTAGCGATATCTTCTCTCCATCATGTTATAGAGCCTCGCCACGCCGACTCGCTTGCTCGCCGAAAAGCGCCATGCGCCGGGCCCATTCATCAATCGTCCCCAGACCCCCGCCAATCGGAGCGGCGCAAGCGATCTCGTTCCAGCATCCTCGACGATCCGATTCTCGATGCAATAATAATTGATTTCACCTCTGAAGACGGAGTCGTTTGTCGCAAAGGCAAGAATAAGAAAAAGGGAGGGGCGAATGGCAACGCCAGCAGCGGGAGACTTCCAGCGGGATCCAAGGAAGGTAACCAGAACCCTGACAGAAATGGCGGTGGGGATCAAGGTGGTGGTGGTAGCAATGCAGACCAGGGCGGAGCTGCAGGTGACGGAAATAATGGTGGTGGCGGTGATGGGGACAAGGATCAGGACAGGGGTGTAAACAATGACAACGCGGAACATGATTTGTCGGCTCCTCCCAAGAGCAAGAAAAAGGATAAGTCCCAAACAGGAACGGGAGCCGAATCTCCTCCTCCTCCAACCAACGCGTTTGACGACGGCACTCTTGACGACGTAAATTTGAACGACGACGGCGGGAAAAACGCTAGTTCTGGGTCGCACGCGCCAGAGTCTGAGAGTGGGATTGGGGCCGCTATCCGCACCAAAATCAAATCGCTTGGTGGTTGGGGCGTCAGCGGATCCTCAAGTGGTAACGATGCCCATACCGACGACGCTGGTGACAAAAAGAGCAGCCTCGAGAGCAACCCTTGGAGCACCAGCGACCCAAAACAATCAGGATCTCTAGCACTTTCAGTCGCCGACACCGATGCGACACAGAGCAGGACCAAAAAACAAGTAGAGACTCCCCAGGATGCTGTAAATGGGGACGAGGACCCATGGGGATATCAGCATCCGGCCAAGAAAAAGAGCAAAAAGAACGATCCCGCATCCATATCTGTCACTGCGCCGGCTCCAGCAGTAAATGACGACATCGCAGGCAAAGAGGTCACCAAAGAGACGAATAACAAGAACGCAAGCGATTCATTAGTTGAGGAGGAAGAGAAGTCAGATCCCATGCCGCAGCCCAAGCCAGCGCCCAGGCAGGAAGCGGTGAAAAAGGAAGATGAGGGCTGGTCATTTTGGGGACTTGGAAAGAATAAGAAGAAAGCCGAAGAGAGCGTTAAACCAGCTGAACAAATACCGCCTCCACCGCCACCTCCTCCCGTTCCACCTTTACCATCCGCAGAAGCAGCGCAACTCACCGAGAATGTTTGGGCCGTATCTGGATCGAAGGATAAGAAGAAGAAGAGAGAAAAAGGAGTGCAGCCTGACATTGTAGCCGTACCGGAACCCGAGGCTAAACCTAGATCTAAGGTTGTGCCACCACCAGCAGACGATGCTTGGGGCTATACTGCCAAGAAACCGTCCAAAGAGGATAAGAAAGAGAAGGAGAGAGAGAAAGAGAGCAAAGACAACGACAAGAAGAAGACGACAAAGTCAGGCTTAGCCGACCAACCGCCACCCTCATCAAAACTTCCTATACCTATTCCTGATCAACACAAACGTACAAATGGCAATGAAACTTCAGATGGACTCGACAAAACTGATCAAGACGAGGGAAGCTGGAGCTTCTGGAGCTTCGCAGGCAAAAAGAAGGGCGATTCATTCACAGAATCCGGCGTGGACGAAGGGTCTCACAAGGCGGAAACGCAAAGTCCCAAGTCTTCCGGACAGCATATCGACGACTTGGTGAGCAACGGGGATAAGGACAAAAAGAAGAAGCTATCAGCTTCTGATCCGTCCAAAGGTGATTCCAGAGCCCCAAAGTCCAAGAACGAAGACTTCTTGCATTCTAAAATGGACCAAAAGAATGGGAGCACTGATTTGGTTCGGCTAGGCGCCTCAGGCAATCCGCCACATGCAGATGATTCTAACGCTATAGGGCTGGACACGACGGACGCATTCGGTGGCAGTGTAGACTTCTTCGGTTCTTGGGGTATTGGTAAGAGTGATAAGAAGCGAGGCGAATCGTCGTGGAAGCCCGATGGCATTGAAGAACCAACCGACCGCACTCCGATCCAGGACAAGAAGAAGCATAATTTCAAAAGTCCGGTTGAAGTTGTGGGTGAGACTACTGGTGAGATTGTCCATCCCGACGACGTAGAGGAGGTCAGGGGCAGCAAGGTTGAGGATGTCGATAGCTTTGTTTGGACAAAGTCCGGCAGGGCGAAGTCGAAATCCCAGAAGGAGGCCTTGGCTGATCCACCTCCCCGTGCACCAACACCCCCTTCCATGGACCTTACTGAATCTGAAGTGGAAGCAGCAGATCCCGATGCGACCACGTCTTCTAGATCGAAAGCGCCCAAGTTGACCGAGAAAGACCTCAAAAGGCTTGAACAAGAGAAGGAGAAGGCTAGACTTGAGGAGGAAGCACAAACCAAGGCAGAAGCCGCGCTTGATACCAAAGACCAAGCGGAAATAGCTATGCTCACGGAAAAGAAAAATAAGAGGGGTAGGTTGCTTAAAACGGACCAGACCAGACTCACTCTCCTGCAACAGAACGTCGCGAAACGGGCTGAGGAACGAGCTAAGCGAGAAGCCAAGGCAAGAGAGGCCGAGGAAAGAGCTGCCGAGGAGCAAGCAGCCAGAGAAGCTGAAGAGGCTGCTCGCAGAGAGGCGGAAGAGCAAGCGGCACGAGAGGCGGAAGAACGGGCTGCTCGCGAAGCAGAGGAACAAGCTGCCGCAATCGCCGATGAAGCAGAAATTAAAGCCTTGGTTGCGAAGAAGACTAAAAAGGGCAAGCTATCTAAGAGGGATGAAGAAAAGCTTGCCCAGCTTCGAGAAGCTGCCGCAAAACGCTCCGAAAGACGCGCCGCTCGCGAAGAACAAGAGCAAGCTGCCAAGGAAGCCCAAGAGCAGGAAGTGGACGAGCCCCAAGTTGAGACTGTCGACGAAACGGAAGAAGCAGAAGCCGCAGAAGATGATCAGCAACGAGCCACACGCGAGGCCGAGGAGCAGGAGCGGGTTACTCGCGAAGCAGAAGAGCGAGCGGCTGCCATTGTCAAGGAAGAAGAAGAGGAACTGGCCGCTCTGATGGCAAAGAAGGAGAAAAAAGGTAAGCTTCTCAGGAAAGAAGAGGAGAGATTTATCACTCTTCGGGTAAGTGCCGCAAAGCGCGAGAGAGAACGAAAAGCACGGGAAGCAGAACAAGCAGCCCAAGAAGCCGAACGCAAAGCCCGAGAGGAGGAGCAAGCTGCTCGAGAAGCAGAGGAGAAAGCCGCTCGCGAGGCCCAGGAAGCAGCTCGCGAGGCAGAAGAACAAGCCGCTGCTCTTGCCGCAGAAGAAAAAGAACTAGCCGCGTTAAGAGAGAAGAAGGCCAAGAGAGGAGGTAGGCTCCTTCGAAAAGACGAAGACAGGCTTGATGTACTCGAAAAAAATGCTGCAAACCGGGCGGAAGAGCAAGCTGCTAAAGAAGCTGAAGAGGCAGCCCGTGAAGCTGAAATACGGACCCGCGAAGCAGAGGAAAAGGCAGCTGCCCTTGCTCTTGCCGTTGCTGCGGAAGAGGAGGAGTTGGCCGCGCTAAAAGCAAAGAGAGTCAAAAGAGGAGGTAAGCTACTTAAAAAGGAGGAAGACAGGCTTATTGAACTCCAAAGAAATGCAGTAAGGCGGGCAAAAGAGAAAGCAGCTCAAGACGCAGAACGGGCTGCCCGTGAAGAGAAGGAACAAGCTGCTAAGGAGGCAGAGGAACAGGCCGCTCGAGAGGCTGAAGAAGCCGCTAAAGAAGCAGCAGAGCGGGCTGCCCAGGAGGAAAAGGAGGCAAAAGAAGCTGCTGCGATTGCAGAAGAAGAGCGGGAAATAGCCCAACTACTCGATAAGAAGCATAATTCGTTCATGGGCTTGTCGAGTAAACTAGAGCAAAGGTTGAGCCAACTTCAGGCTAAGGCGACGAAACGAGCCGAGGAGCAAGCTGCCCGTGAAACCGAGCGCCTTGCTCGCGAAGTTGAAGAACAAGCAGCTCGGGAAGCTGAGCAAGCAGCCAGAGAAGCCGATGAGCGAGCAGCTCGAGAAGCAAGAAAGGCGGCCGCAATTGCTAAAGAGGAGGAAGAACTTGCATTACTCCTTGAGAAAAGGTCCAAAACCCTCCGAGGAAAACTCTCGCCCCAAAGTGAAGAAAGGATAAGCGAGCTCCAAGCTAAGGCCGCTAAACGGGCTGAAGAAAAAGCTGCCCGGGAAGCGGAAGAAGAGGCTGTTCGGGAAGCTGAGCGACTAGCTAAAGAAGCTGATGAGCGCGCCGCTCAAGAAGCAAAGCAAGCTGCTATGATTGTTGAAGAAGAGAAGGCGCTTGCTTTGTTACTTGACAAGAAGGCCAAGTCAACACTGTCAGCAAAAGGGGAAGAAAGGCTGAAAGTGCTTCAAGCTAGAGCTGCCAAGCGGGCTGAAGAACAGGCTGCCCGAGAAGCTGAGGAACAAGCTGCTTTAGAGGCTGAACGGCTAGCTAAGGAAGCTGCTGCGATTGCTAAGGAGGAAGAAGAACTTACGTACCTCCTCGAGAAGAAGTCTAAAACAGCCAGAGGAAGGCTTTCGCCTCAATACGAAGAGAGGCTAAGCGAACTCCAAGCCAGCGCCGCTAAGAGGGCTGAAGAAAAAGCTGCCCGAGAAGCTGAGGAGCAAGCTGCTCTGGAGGCTGAACGACTGGCTAAAGAAGCTGAAGAACAGGCTGCTGAAGAGGCTAGGAAAGCTGCTGATGAAGCTGAGAAGGCCGCCGCTATCCTGAAGGAGGAAAAGGAGCTAGCTTCCCTCGTCGAGAAGAGGGCTAAATCATCAAAAGGAAGGCTGACGTCTTCGTTGGAGGCAAGACTAAGTGAGCTCAAAGCTAATGCCTCGAGGCGCGCTGAAGAGAAGGCAGCCCGAGAAGCCGAAGAACAGGCTGCTAGAGAAGCTGAACAAGCAGCTAAGGAAGCTGAGGAGCGTGCCGCCAAAGAAGCTGAAGAGGCTGCCGCAATCGCCAAAGAAGAGAAAGAAATTGCCCTCCTGCTTGAAAAGCAATCTTCTCCCAGAGGCCTATCGGCTAAAGCAGAGCAGAAGTTGAATGAGCTACAAGCTAAGGCAGCAAAGCGTGCTGAAGAGAAGGCCGCTCGGGAAGCTGAAGAACAGGCTACAATAGAAGCCGAGCGAGCAGCTAGAGAGGCAGATGAAAAAGCTGCTGCAATTGCTAAAGAAGAGGAAGAATTGGCCCTTTTACTTGAAGAGAAAACTGCATTTAAAAGCCTATCAACCAAAGACGAGCAGCGATTAAATAAGCTACAGGCCAGAGCGGCAAAAAGAGCTGAAGAGAAAGCCGCTAAAGAGGCTGAAGAGCAGGCTGCTTTAGAAGCTGAACGACTAGCTAGAGAAGCAGAGGAAAAGGCTGCTGAAATCGCCATGGAGGAGGAAGAAATTGCTCAGTTGCTTGGAAAACAGTCTTCATTCAGAGGCCTATCAAGCAGAGGAGAACAGCGGTTAAATGAGCTACAAGCTAAAGCCGCTCAGCGGGCTGAAGAAAAGGCCGCTCGGGAAGCTGAGGAACAGGCTGCTCTAGAGGCTGAACGACTGGCTAGAGAAGCAGAGGAAAAGGCAGCTGCAATCGCTAAGGAAGAGGAAGAAATTGCTCAGCTACTTGCAAAGAAAAAAACCAAGGGCCTGACAAGCAAAGGAGAGCTGCGACTAAGTGAACTGCAAGCAAGGTCGACAAAGAGAGCTGAAGAGAAAGCTGCCCAAGAGGCTGAGGAGCAGGCAGCCTTAGAAGCTGAACGACTAGCCAGGGAAGCAGAAGAAAAGGCTGCCGCAATCGCCAAGGAAGAAGAAGACATTGCTCAGTTACTCGCCAAAAAGAAAATCAAGGGTCTGACGAGTAAAGGTGAACAACGGTTAAGTGAGCTGCAGGCTAGAGCTGCAAAGAGAGCTGAAGAGCAGGCCGCTCGGGAAGCTGAGGAACAAGCTGCACTGGAAGCTGAGCGAATAGCTAGAGAGGAAGAGGAAAAAGCTGCTGCAATCGCCAAGGAAGAGGAAGAGATTGCTCAGCTGCTTGCAAAGAAGAAAGCCAAGAGCCTGACCAGCAAAGGACAACAGCGGCTAAGTGAGCTGCAAGCCAGAGCTGAAGAGAGAGCTGAGGAGCAGGCCGCTCGGGAGGCTGAAGAGCAAGCTGCATTAGAGGCTGAACGAGTAGCTCGAGAAGCAGAAGAAAAGGCGGCTCGAGAAGCAAAAGAAGCTGCTACTATCGCTAAAGAAGAGGAAGAAATCGCTGAGTTACTCGAAAAAAAGAAGACCAGGACATTCAGGGGCCTGTCAAGTAAAGAAGAGCAGCGGCTAAGTGAGCTGCAAGCTAGATCGGCAAAGCGAGCTGAGAAGAAGGCCGCTCGGGAAGCTGAAGAGCAGGCTGCTCTGGAAGCTGAACGTCTGGCTAAAGAAGAGGAAGAACGAGCTGCTCAAGAGGCCGCAGAGGCTGAGGCAATTGCTAAGGAGGAGGAAGAACTGGCGCAGCTCCTTGATAAGAAGGCCCACTCGTTCATGGGTCTCTCATACAAGGCCGAGAAGAGGCTGAATGAGCTTCAGGCCAATGCCGATGAGAGAGCGGCTCGCGAGGTCGAAAAGCAGGCTGCTCTAGAGGCGGAGCAAGCTGCTCTAGAAGCGGCCGCCGAAGCAGCTGCAATCGCCGAAGAGGAGAAAGAAATGGCTGACTTGCGACACAAGAGAGAAAAGAAGGGCAAACTATCTAAGAAGGATAGCGAACGACTGAGCCATCTTAAAGAGAAGGCAGCCAAGAGAAAGGAGGAGCAAGCTGCGCGCGAAGCTGAGCTGGCCGCTGCTAATGCTGAGCAAAACGAAGACGACGAAGACGAAGACGAAGACGGCGACGACGACGACGATAGGGATGTTTTCCAAACAGGTGACGATGCTAACGACGATGATGATAACGACGATATCGACGCCGATGACGACGAAGAAGAAGAAGCCATCCGAGCGGCAGAAGCAGAGGCAGCGGCCCGTGAGGAAGAGGAGAGAGCTGCCCGAGAGGCTAAAGAGGAAGCTGCGCGGGAAGCTGAAGAGGCCGCCAAGAAGTTGAAGAAGAGCTCCAAGAAGGACAAGAAGGAGAAGGAGGATAAGAAAGATAAGAGAGATAAGAAGGACAAGAAGGACAAGAAGTCCCGAGATCTTCCATCCGAGGCAGAAGCAGAGAGAGATGTTGGATCCTCTCAGCCAGAGTCAGGGGCGAAACCGGATCCTGACTTTGACATGAGCCCTGCTGAGATCGAAGCGCTGCTTGCGCCCAAGGAGACGGGCGCAGCGGGTGCGTTCAGCTTCTGGGGTCTCGGTGGTAGGAAGTCGAAACCGAAAGGTATGTTGGGTTCCCCCCATTTCTGAAGAAGGATTGCTAATTGAGATCACCAACTCTAGAGGAGCCGGAGCCGGAACCGGAGCCAGAGGCTAAGTCAAGTGACGACCGATCGCAGAAATCCTCAGAACGATCAAGATCCCTAGGCGGTAGAATTGCTAATGGCCTCAAGGCATTCGAACAAACACCTGAAGAAGTAGCCGATCCCGCCCGCCCACCACCCCCACCCCCACCAGCATCTGACTCGGATGAAGAAGAAGAGGATGCCGCAGAGATGCCAAAAGTCGAAGCGGCAGATGATGAACAGGTGGTTGGAGAAGAACCAGCAGCTGACTTTGAACAGGAGGATGACGGATTACACTATGGAGATGCCATGGAAGAGACGCCAACCAGGAAGAAGGGGCCACCGCCTCAAGATGATCGATCTAGGAGAAGAAGAAAGGCGGAGGAGCCAATAGTCGTGCCAGTGCCAGTAGTCTTACCTGATAGAGGTGACAGGGGCACATCGAGAAGGCATCGAAGACCTTCGGATGTTCCAGGGGGATTCCCTGGCGACGATGGTGATGAAAATGAGATAGTCGCCATCATTGACGAAGGGCCAAGGAAGGAAAGGAAGTCTAAGAAACGGCGGCCCAAGGAGGAGGATATGATGATGCCTCCCCCGCCTCCGCAGATTCCGATGCCTCCTCCGCCTCCTCCCGCCGTCCCTGATCCGCCTTTGACGCCACCACCGGAGCCGAAATCATCGAGGAAAGAAAGGTCAAGATCCAGCCGAGAGAAGGAGAAATGGCCCGCGGTGGCATCCCCACCGCGCAGAGAAAGGGAAGAGAAGCGGTCATCCAAGCACAAGTCAGAACGCTCTTCTCGGCGGGCAGTGGAAAAGGCGTCTTCCAGAGACTCCACTTCTGACAGGGCGGAGCGAGCAGAAAAGTCGGGCAAGTCTTCAGGGCGAAACCGACTCACGGGGATGTTCAGCAGCAACCCTCCTCCCACTAGGTCAATGTCTACACGAGAAAAAGAGAGGCGGTCCAGTATGAACGGCAGCAGCAGGCCCAGGAGAAATACCGTTACTAGCCACGGCCTTGTTTCTCCACCCCCAGAAGAGTCTCCCGACGTGACGTCGAAGGCTGCTAAAATCCTTGGTTTCGATAAGTCAAGCTCAAAAAGAAAGACTCGCAGGGCGCATTACCAAGATGACGAAGAAGCTGTTATGATGGGAGCTCTCGGAGATGATGCTCATGCAGATTATCCACAGGAAAGACATCGAAATAGGAGATCTCGCGAAGATGATGTTGTCATGCCAGCAGAGCCCTCTAGTCCCGAACACTCACACAGGCGAGCGGCATCGGCTTCAAAGAAGGCGGGATTGACCGGGCTCTTTAGCGGCTTCATGACACCCAGAGCATCCAAGGTTGAGACTGGCGTAGATTTCGACATACCCATGGTGGAGACAGACCGTGAAGGCCCGCGAGTGTCTAGTCGCAAGATTAGAAAGTCAGAGCGAGAGTCGGAGCGGACTGGCGACGATCGTGAACGACGACGGAAGCGCAGAGATGATAGCGAGAGTCGCAAATTGGCAGAGAAAGAAGCTCGTCGTGAGCGACGGGCTGCTCGCCAACGTGAAGCAGACGAACAACGTGAGGCGGATGAGCGAGAGGCTCGACGGGCTGAACGACGTCTACGCAAAGAAAAGGAGAGGGAAAAGGAGAGGGAGAGAGAAAGGGAGAGAGAGGAAGACGTACAGAGAAGTTCGAAACGCCAGCGGCGCAGGTCTCATGCAGATCCCTCTGATGATGAAGCCGCCGAACGACAGCGCAGACGCGAGGCCAGACGTGCCGCCAAAGCTGCTGCTGAGGAGGAGGAAGCATATAACAGGCAGAGGAAGAGCAGTCGACGCTACACTGAGCCTGTGGTAGACGATCATGTATATCCGGCCAAGGAGCGTCGACGAGATGGCAAGAGAGCTGCCCCCGGGATGTGGCCGCACTCAGGGACATCCTCGTGGGTCAAAGAGCATTCAGATCCACCTCCGCATCTGGATGATGCTGGACACATGACAGATGCGGTGCAGCATACGGAAGACGAACAGGCCCGGCGTGAAGCCCGGCGCGCTCGACGACGAGCCAAGCACGAGGAAGTGCCTGTCGAGGATGCGGACGAGAGACGCCGCCGAGAGAGGCGGGAGAGACGAGAGCGGGAGAAGCGCAATGGCGCTTCAGAAGGAAGCGATGAGCGCCATCGCAGCCGACGAGATTCTGCTGCATACGCAGAGCCAGCGCCTCGGAGCAGCTGGTGGAGAAAGCTCGCTGGATGAAATTCGAGAGACGCATGGATCTTGAGCAAGCGTGTTTGATCTTTTTATTTATTTTATTTTTCATTCTTCTTTCTCTTTTCTTTTTCTTTTTTGATGACCTATACGTCTCAATTTGTTTTGCTTTCATGCCTTTCAACCTTACTGTTCTGCGTGCTGTCTGTTTTTGTCTTCGCTTGTCATGACATGATGATGGTTATTTTCAACTCGAGACGCTGCTATGCGGCAAAGGCGGCATTACCGCATCATATTTATTACAGCTCTGCCAGTTCTGTTCCGGGATTTCGGGCCAGTCCATCCCGGAATATCTAGAGGCAGTCTCTTTCCCAGTCATAGTGTAGGGATGGGATGGGGTGGGATTTATTTTTTTTTTTCTTCTGCCGTGCTTTTCTCGATTCCTTTCTTCTTTTTCGTCAACGATGTTTGATATGATGTACGAGTTGTTCTAACGGCTTTTTGAATCGGGTCCTGGGTCGCTGGAGGCCAAGTCGTGTATCACTTTTTTATCATGAGATGGAGATGGATGATGCAAAATTGCCTCGCATTACTAGGTACTTGTACTTTTTTTTCATCTCTTTCTTCTGCTTGTTCCTTTATCTTGCATATGCGCTGTGGGTATCTGGGTAGCTCTTGGAATCTTGGACTCGCAAATGATATCAATTGGATTGAAATAGTGTGCGCCTTGTGCAGTAGCGCAGCCATGTACAGTGCACGTTGACCGGGCAAAACGGGCCACTTGCCCTTATGAACTGCGTCTGATGGCTGTCAATTGCTGTTGGCATGTATTTGCTATATGCTAGTTAGTACTTACAGTACTTGTGTAGATGTGAATTGCTGGCTAAATCAAGTGATTGCGGTAAGGTGATTGCGGTGAGGTGATTGCGGTGAGGTGTTGGGTGCGTACCTCTACTACCACTGAGGTACCGATGTATACAAGTACAGTAAGGTTATGCTGTGGAGAGAAAAGTGATGCTAGTATGTGATCACTGCGTCTTTGGATACTTGGTGACAGGTGATAGGTGGCTTCCCCACGGCCCATGCCGGAACTGGGGCGCCTTGACGGGATGCACGCGTGTCTTGGAGTTCGATCAACTGTTGGCCGCAAGAGGCCATAAGTACGTACTGTAGAAGAATTAAGGTAGGTACTACATAAAAGCGTTCGACTGTGTGCATGTGTCCATGAAAGAGCCATACATGATGGTAAATCCAAGAAAATCAGCAAATGCCATGGATGTACTCTGTATTCTGCGGCATGTCATTGTACAAGCAGGCCTATAGAGGGGTCGCAACTGCAGTGTGATTAGCCCGCCATTTTTAGATTTAGCCTTTCCCAGGCCCTGGCCCGGTCAACGGAAGCCCGTTTTCAACCTCGCCTGTTTGGGGGTGGCGTGGCCTGCGGCTTCTTCAATTGAGATCCAGAAACCAACCAGCTGCTGCTTTTTTGGCCGTCCGTCACTCTTTTTGCTGCCGTCACGCCCTTTCTGCCTCCAGGGGCCGAAGGGGACGCTGCATCCACGACTAAACAGGCTCTTCTTCTTCTTTCTACGCCATGAGTGCGCCGGGGAAGCAGGCGTCGCGATGGGGTTCGTTTCTCCAGCAGGCCGTGGCGGGCGTCGAGTCCCGCTTGGACACCATCCTGGCCGAGTCGGACGATGATCGCAGCGCGACGCCACCGGCAGCAACTGCCGCTGCTGCGACGGCGGCTGCCAGTCCAAAAGTGACGAGCTCTGGTGAGTGAGTGATGCGGCTGAGAACAGGCAAGGGGAGGGGGGAGGGGGGAGGGGCAAGCAGGATTCCCAGCCAGTTGCATGCAAACAGCGCCAGCAGCTAACCAGAAGGCAATTCGTGCAACAGACTCTCGAGCATCGTCGACTAGCCGCGCAAATGATCGACTGCAAGCAAGGCTGGCCAAGGCCCTGGCTAACAAGAATGCGCTTTCGCCGGCGAGTGCGTCGCCGCGCAGCTCCATCGATGCAGCTAGCCGAAGCTCCATGGAGAGGCCCTCGATAGATCAAGACAAGCCTGAGGTTCCGTCAGAACAGAAGCCCACATCCGAGGCCGAGTCGCCTCAAGCCGCCCCTGATCCCACAGCTGCCACTACCTCTACTACCACGACGACGACGGAGACGACGACGACAATACCAATAACAATAACAGACGACGATGACACTGCTGCCAAGTCTCCTTTGGAGCCGGCTGTTGACAAAACAGAGGGTGCTCCGTCAGGGACAGAGGAGCAGCAGACGCTCAAAGAAGCACCTTCAAAAGTGGACGAGCACACGCCGACAAAGGTGGACGAGCACACGCCGACAAAAGTGGTCAAAGACGAAACTCCAACAGATACCCCCGATGCGGCAACAACCGTTGTAGAAAATGCACTTGATGCCGCCGAGTTGGCTCGCGAGCTCGAGGAAGCAAAATTGCGACATCGAGAGGAGATTCAAGAGTACGTTGAACGGATAGACTCTATACAATCCAAGCTCCAATATTTATCTAAAAATGCCGCCGATTCCGCAAAGAAGGCTGCGTCGGCAGCCCCATCTGGTAGCCAGGAAAAGAAGCTCGCGGAGAAGGATGAGCGAATCGCGCTACTGATGGAAGAAGGCCAGAAACTGGCCGGAGCGGAGCAAAAATATCGAGCAGCAATCAAGACTTTGCGGCTTCAAGTAGGGGAGCGTGACAAGCAGCTGGACGAAGCACGAAAAGCAAAGGACAAAATGGCATCGGATATTCAAGCGCTGCGCGACCGCTTGGACGGAGATGAAGAGAAGGAAAAGCGCCGGCAGGAGGCCACCAAGGCTACTGCAGCTCTACGGAAGGAAATTGACGCCTTAAAGAAGGACAATGCCAGCAAAGACGCTACCATTCGTCGACTTGAGCAGGAAGTAAAGTCAAAGGAGGAGCAAGGCCAGGTTGCCAAAGCGGATGCTGTGAGCAAAGCGGTAACCGCAGAGCGAGTAAAACAAAAGGAACTCGAAGATGCAAATGATGCTCTCCGAGCAGAATTGGAAGCTCAGGGCGAAAAGGCCCGACTAGATGCCATAGAAGCGAGCGAGAAGCTTGAGCGTGCCATCCAGCGTGGTAACACCGTCGAAGCCGAGCTACGGCTTGAGCTTCGGAGCATGGAGGGCAAGCTAGAAGGCGTACGGGTGACGGCAGAAGAAGCTGCCTCCAGCACAGGAGGCGAGGCTCAAGCTAAGCTGTTCCGGCAGATAGAGACGTTACAGTCACAGTATACGTCAGCCAGACAAAATTGGCAGGGCATAGAGGCGTCCTTGATGTCGAAAACGACCAGCTTGGAGAGTGAAAGAGACGAAGCACAGCGGCGGGAGTCTGAAATGCGCAAGAAGGCCCGAGATGCGGTACGTCTGACACGTTCTAATCAATTTCCGTCTTTTCTTCCATCCCCGGTCGATATTCGTCCTCTATTGATATGTGCTAACTTGAGTGACTTTGTTGCTATAGGCCAAGCGTAGCAGAACTCTGGAAGATGAGCTACAAGATGCGCAGATGCAGCTCGAAGCCTGTCGTGAAGAGCTTGCCGCTCTCCAAAAATCCTCGAAAGCTACCGAGACGGCTCTCGAGCAAACCCGCACAGATCTGGACAAGGAGAAGCAAGCTGCAAGCAGAGCCTTTTCGGCTGAGTCAGGACGACAGTGGATCGATGAAGTTGCGAATACAGCATCATCACGAACCCAAAGCCGCCCAGAGTCGCCGTTACTCTCTGCCCCGCGAACATTCAGCTCCGAAGCTGTTTCGTTATCTGTTCCCAACCGCATACGACGATCTCCCACTCCTGTAAACATACTAGATAGTGCAGCAGAAGGATTCAGTCCTCTTCGCCGACCCTCTGCGTATCTACCGACTCGAACGGGAACAGGGCCACTGTCACTTACTGGATCTGTTCCTCCATCTCCGTTCTCTCCTCTGGATCACCCGTTGGAATCACCACCAACGATACCTCCGTCGGTGGTAGAGAGGGAGAATGGAATCAGCGATACAGCCCCTTCATCGCCTCGCAATCTGGCACAAGATATGATTTCAGTGTCAACCGTGGCGGCGGGACCATCTGTCCAATTAGTGGAACGGATGAGCGCCGCAATACGTCGCCTGGAGGCAGAAAGGGTTGCCGCCAAGGAAGAGATGGCAAGGGTCTGTAGCCAGAGAGATGAAGCGAGATCAGATATGGTGAGCCTGATGAAGGATTTGGAAGAGGCAAAGGCAGCGTCTGCAAGGGTGCCGGATCTAGAAAAGGAAGTTGCCGACCTGGATACGAGATATCAAACCACCTTGGAGTTATTAGGAGAGAAGAGCGAGCTAGTTGAGGAGCTGAGAGCAGATGTAGACGACGTTAAGACGATGTATCGGGAACTGGTAGAGCGAACTGTAAAGTAAGTGGCTTGTCCTTGGATTTGGGCTACGGGAAGGTTCATAGAAGGATAGGGAAAACAAGTGGAAGGGGAAAAGCGTTAATGAAGCACAATGATTTGAAACGACAGGGGCGTGGTATCCAATGTAGATTAGAATTGTACATTTCTATACACTTTATCAATCCACTGCATTTGATATAAAGTTTGCTAACTAATCGACCAGCTGGATGCCCTCTCTTTCAGCGCCCTGGATGATGAATTGGCGGACCTGTTTTGGTACGTTGGTCAATACATATGTGATGAAATGCGCGTATGAAAGGGGGGAGATGGCTGTGGAATGAGCTATTTAGTCGGGGCAGCCTTACCTCTTTGTCTGGAGCCAAATCAATAGCAAGCTCTCCTTCGGAAGTCTTGAGTGTAAAATCAGCCTCCTCCTTCAGAAGAGCGACGGCGGTGTCTCCTATAGAACATGAATTAGCTTTACTCTTAGTCACAAATATGCAATTTGAAAAGCCCGCTTGGTGCCATGAGAGATTCGACATACCGTGACCCTCTGCGACAGCATGGTGAAGAGGGGTGAAGCCCTCATTGTCTGTCGCATTCAGGGGGCTCCTGTTCTTCAGCAGCAGCATAACCATGGGTACGGACCCGACGGCTGCAGCGCGATGAATGGGGTATTGGCCGCGGCGGTCGCGGACGCGAGTTGAAGCTGGGGGTTTCGAGTTGATGAGCAGGCGAGCGACGTCGAGGTTCTTTTTGGAGGCGACGAAGTGGAGGGCAGTCTGGGGGGTGGGCTGGTGTTAGTTCTCGAGCTATGGTGGTGTATTATAATACGCATTCGGCTGTTATTAGATGGGAAGTTTGGATGTAATTTGTTTCTTTGCGTGGAAAAATGTGTTAACAAAATAAGCGGCATTTGGAACTCACTTGGCCGTTGTTGTCTATGGAGTAGTTAGTAAGGTGCGTGTTGTAGCAAAGGGTTGAAGTTTGTGTTGTCGCTAATTTGGCTAACGGCTTACTCTTGATATTGACATCAGCACCCCTTTGAAGAAGGAGATTCAATGCTGGCTCGCTGTTTTGAACGCTGGCTGAAATCATGAGAGGAGTCCAACCGCTATCGTCCTATATTTATGTAAACAACTTTTGGTGTAAGTAACGTTGGGTTGAGAATTGCTCCATGTCATCTCCTCTCATTTCAACATTGATACCGTCGATGATGATGATGATATATTAGTAGAAGTGTAGGGTTCTTTACCTGGATGTCCGGGTCGAAGCTCGACTGGTTTGCTAAAAGGAGAATAATGTCATAGCTGTTGGAAGAGGCTGCCCAGTGGATGGGATATCTGCCGTCGTCATCTTTGCGTTTTGAGAGCTTGGGATCCGTCTATGAAATGTATTAGCAGATGGTTTGAGTTTCATTCTATTGTATACCCAATGTGTGTATTTATTTTCTCATCTTTTTGAACGTACCCTGAGGAGGCCCTCAGCAACAGACACTGAGATCATGTTAGCTTTGTAATGCTGGAATATACGCATGGAGCTCAGTACCTCTGCCTTCTCTCGCAGCTGTGTGTAGCGGAAACTTATCGCCATCTGTTTCAGCCATAGTGAGAACAATGGGCCGTGTATATCTCGGATATAATACTCGCAGATCGGTCAAAGGGATTATTGTAGTTGAAAGGCGAGGAATGAATTCTCGAGCAGTGAGAATAGAAATGGAGATATAGCCTGGCAGGCAAATCCAAAGTTGCAGGGTAAGGCGTTGTAGAGCTTCCAGGCCACTGCTGTCTTGCGTACTGGGCACTCGTCGCCTGTATTTTGCTGGCGCGCCACAGTCTCAGCTGCAGCATACTGTATGTAGGTCTAGATGCACCCCACATCGCCTGCGCCACAGAAGGCTGAACCTTGCAAGTTCCAATTCAAGTCGCCTCTCGCAGCTACTTTTTGTTCGACATACGCGAATCACCTCCAAATCCCAACTTCTTTTCTCTCATTCTTTTTGCTTTACATTTCGTGCCATGGAGGCGCCGCAGACGCCGCAGGACGCGCTCCATATGAGTGCGCTCGCGTCTCAGAATGCCGCTGCGACGAGGAATCTTTACTCTCGGCTGGAATTGTCCAACGGCAAGCGCCAGAAGCTCGAAGGCGTGTTTGAAGACGCCGTTATGAAGCGTCGATTCGAGGCCGAATACGCGGCTGTACAGACTCTTCCCGAGGCGCTCGCGGCGAAGCAACCATCGAAACAACCCCTGCGGAAGACAGCGGCCAAGGCTGGAGGGCCGGCGCGAAAAGCACCCAAACTTCTCGAGGCTGGACCTGGAGCATCATCGGCAGCGTCCAAGGCAAACGGAGACGAGGCGACCATCTCGACAACGACGGTACCGCAGAGCATGAGCTTGACAGTCAGAGGATCACCGGCTATCCAGCAAGTCAAGCCCGAATGGCATCCCCCGTGGAAGCTGATGAGGGTCATCTCAGGCCACCTGGGGTGGGTGCGCAGCTTGGCAGTCGAGCCGGGGAACAAGTGGTTTGCTAGCGGTGCTGGCGACAGGACGATCAAGATCTGGGATCTCGCGACGGGATCGCTGCGATTGACATTGACGGGACACATCAGCACCGTGCGTGGCCTGGCTGTGTCTCCAAGACACCCATATCTTTTCTCCTGCGGCGAGGACAAGATGGTCAAGTGCTGGGATCTGGAGACGAACAAGGTTATCCGCCACTACCATGGCCACCTCAGCGGCGTCTACACATTGGCCCTCCATCCGACGCTGGATGTTCTGGTGACGGGTGGTCGAGATGGCGTTGCCCGAGTCTGGGACATGCGAACGCGCAGCAACATCCATGTTTTGTCGGGCCATACTGGTACTGTGACAGATGTCAAATGCCAAGAGGCAGATCCTCAGGTGATTTCAGCATCATTGGACTCTACTGTCAGGCTTTGGGATCTGGCGGCCGGAAAGACCATGGGCGTTCTCACCCACCACAAGAAGGGCGTCCGCGCCTTGGCTGTCCACCCTACTGAATTTACCTTTGCATCGGGTAGCAGCGGCAGCATCAAGCAGTGGAAATGCCCGGAAGGCGCTTTCATGCAGAACTTTGAGGGCCACAATGCCATCATCAACACTATGAGTGTAAATAGCAACAATGTTTTCTTCTCAGGTGGTACGTATCTCCACATCCTCCTTGTCAACGGTGTAAAGAAGACACATCAAGGTCAAGATCGACATCTAACTCCTAAAATCTAGGTGATAATGGCTCAATGAGCTTCTGGGACTGGAAATCAGGCCATCGATTCCAATCTTTTGAGACAACAGCACAGCCGGGCTCATTAGACGCCGAGTCAGGCATCATGAGCTCGACGTTTGACCGCTCTGGACTGCGTCTCATCACGGGCGAGGCTGACAAAACTAGTATGTGCTTCTTTCTCCGTGCTATCTTCTTCTGTAGAGATACGTGTGCTAACTACTTTTTTCTTCTTTTTCTTTTTTTTTCTCACAGTCAAAATATGGAAACCAGATGAGAAGGCGTCAGAGGAGACGCATCCGATACAATGGACGCCAACATTGGCGCAGAGGAAATTTTAGCCAGGAGTTTATGGAAATGATAATTGGTTTTGTTGCTTAATTCTCGATTTTGAAGTATATATATCAAGCGGCAACGGAAGAATAATAGATCTTGCACCGCAAATCACAGGCGGGTGGATGGATGCATGTTTTATATGGCATTTTTTATGCATTTCTGAATCTCTTGGAGTGGGAATGGCTGGGCAAGACGACACATGTACTAATTATTTTGGGGTAATATTGGTAAAACAAATGCGTCGACGTTGCCAATGTAAACATTAAAGGTGCATTATATATCTATAAGTTGATCTTCTTCGTGATCTCATTGCTATTTTTTGGTATCCAAATCCGCCAGCACGCTAAAGTGCAAAATAGTATCCATCAAAACCCTTCTTCCTTCTACCTTAATCCTTCTCGGTTGTCAAACTCTTAGTGTACATAATAGTTCATCAAAGCGTGTGTATATAGCGCGGACGGTGTTGAAAGGGCGTTCCATTCATACACTCAGGCCCATGGACTTGAGATCCGCATCATCACGCAGGGCCATCTTCACTTCGTCGTCAGCAATGGCCAATCGTAATTTGCTTGACCGATCCGCACGATGAGCCTCCAAGTTTACAAGACCAGCAGCAACCAGCTCCAGGGCTGCCGTGTGGATGTACTGTGGCCGTCCTACCATGCGTCGGCCGACTTGATTCCCCTTGGCGAGACCAGGAAGGATCTGGGCCATGCCAGGGGGTGGACGGGCTGCATAAGCTGTGGAGCGCTGAAGCTCATCCAGCGTTTCGCCAAGAGTCGTCTCAGCCAGACCAGATCTTCGGATCCTCAGTAGCAACGCCGCCATGAGCATCTTCGAGGTAAGGGGGAGGCTCCGCAGATGTTGTTGTATAGGATTGGTCGTGGCCTCATTGATGGCTCTCTTGATGGTGGAGATGGTGACTCTTCCACGCCGAGACTGGTCGGGAATCCCGTTATCATTTGCCCTTTTGCTCGGGGTCATTGGATCGCCCGGAGCATCGCTCTCCGCCAGCTCAACCGCTCGACGGCAAATATCCAGCGCTCGTCTGGCGTCGCCGCTGACGGCAGCTACTTTGCGACTCGCGAATTGGACGGCATCTGCATCGACGATATTTCCCGGTACGCCTTCAAGACGAGACTGGATAATCTTCATAAGCTGATCGTGATTGTAGCCGGGGAAAGTTATTCGAGTGAGACCTATATTGTGACTGTTAGACTTTCTTCTTCTTCTTCTTCTTCTTTCTTACAGGTATAAGCTTTCTGTTGTACATACCCAGTCGACTGCTGATCTTGTTGCTTAGCGTTCTCTCTGGAAGATCCATTGTGTTGGCAACTGCGAGGACGATAAGACGGCTATGTCGGAGCGTTGGCCAGTTGAAAAAGTTATACATGACTGCCTGATTTTTCGTAACCAGTTGATCAAGTTCGTCCATCAACACCACGCATGGAACACGTCGCGGGCTAGGATTGCTGAATTCTCGCTCCAAGAGGTCAAGAGACTGGGCGGGGCTTGCTCGTTCGCCCTTGAGAGCCTCCCATAGCAGCGAGTATGCCTGGTGAGGATCTGTAATCTTCATGCCATTAATCTCAACAAATATGAAATCGTCCAGTTCGTCTGAGCCGACGGCTTCTTCAAGGCGAGAAATGACTTCTCGCACCGTGGCTGTCTTTCCAGTTCCTGGTGTCCCGGAGATATAGATACAATTGCCAGTACCCTCAGTAATGGCGGCTTCTAGATGTGAATACACCAACGAGAACTCTCCCTCACGACAAGGCAAGCTGGAGGGAACTGCGGAGACATGGAGGCGTGAACGTGCAATCTGGAACGGAGAAGATTGAACTTGGCTGGGCGACAATTTTCTGGTGGCTAGGGGTGTAAACTCGAGTTTCTTTCCGCCACTCCTCGGTCCTCGCTTTGATTTGGGGGTTGTCGCTGAGTTTCTGCCGGTCTTGGTTGGTGTTTGAGGTGGTAGATATGTGCCGTCGCCCTCTGGTGGTGACTGAGCTCGAGCTCTTCGACGGGTTGTTTTAGTATTCTTTTCCACAAAGTCCTTCAAAGCAGATACGTCTTCCCCATTCTCATATATCTCTTCCCATACGAACTCATCCGTGTATGTGGTAGACCGGGTGTTGCAGCCACGTCGACACACAAATGTTTTCCCATAGTCAGGTGAATTTCGCGATATCTTTCCGGAGGGATGCGCACTGAGGAAGGCATCTAGGGACATGATATTGGCCTTGCCATTGATCGACGCCAGGGGATTTACGTCAAACGATGGCGAGATATACAGCTCGTTCTAGATTGATGGTTAAAAGAATGAAAATTAAACTTGCTCCAACGAAACAAGGGCATAGCATAGCGACTATACATACCCAATGGAAGTCTTTTCGCTTCCTCTCTGTGTTACGAATCTCTTTCTCTGTCAAGAACCACATAAAATTGGCACTCATTTCTCCAGTCTCGCTGTCTTCCCGGAAATCACAGATGATGGCTACCCATGTTCCAGTGGATGCATCGCCCGCCTTGAGCATCACCGTGTCCCCGACTCGGCATTCGAAATCGCCATATCGAGCCCCGACAATCTTGGAACTGGCCGCGACCTTCCTCCTCTTGCGATCACCGTCGCCCTTTTCGCCAACAACATCTGGTTGTTCGGTGCTGTATAGCCATTCCCATGATGATTCCTCTGCTTCGGAATTGTCGTCTGAATCATCGCTAGCCACTGCAGTAGAAAAAGCACGTTTGCGCCCTCGAGACGAGTGAGTGTTGGTTTGAGGAGTGGTTTGGGCGGTCATTGGAGAGAATGTTGGGGTAAGGATGAACAGAGATACATAGACTCTCCACTTAGCAGCTCGATAACCGGGGGGATGGTGTCTTTTATGAGCTGTCGTATCTTTGAAAAATAACCAGAGCAGTGACCATTCTTGATTGATCTAGAATTGAAACATGGAGCTGGCAGCAGCTCAGCAAGTCGCAACGAGCACTTAGTAGGGTAGCTTAGTAGCCTGGATCAATTAACGCGTCTGGATTTTTGGGAGACGCGCCGGAGAGAACTCGATATGTGCATAGTCAATTGATGCATATTTCCACTACACAGGTTCTCCAAGCACACCATCCAGTACTATAAAGACAAAGAAATGCAAATCATTATCATTTTAGATATTATTCTAGTTAGAGATGTTGGAGCGACTGAATCATCTCAAATAATAACTCGTGGAAGCGCTTTGAGATGATAATGGCCTGTCAGTGTGAAGCATTGCGCCCACGTCTCTGTCACACAGCTGTTATTACTATTATTACCTATTATTACATGCTCCACGCCACTGTTGAGACCGGTTTCGAGGCCATTTTCCATTCTACCATTGATATGATGAAGGCCATAGTAATAAGAATAATAAATTCCATGAGCCATATAGCCAGCCGTACTATTGCCAGCGCAGCTTTGATTTGTTGCACGACGTCAACGCAATTTGTCAAATGGGAACGTGCAGATGGAATGGCTGGCAGCCGCTCTGGCCGTGATTCACTGCTGGCCAGCAGATGCCCCCTGCCGCCAACTTCTCTTTCACTCTTTGTTGACTCCGTTCTTTCTTTGTCGGCATAGAGCTGCCTCAGGCCTCCCATTTCGGCAGGACACACACATATATCCAGCTTTGCTGGCACTTGATGACCAGCCCTTTGTTCTTTCTGAAACCACAGAGCGTGCAAGTCCTCTTCTTCTCTCCTCTTCTCTCTCTGCTTTGTTTTTTCTTGCCCTTCGTTCAGACTATCCGCCACCAAGTCCATTCTAGTCTACAAGCCGCTCTAGAAACTCTGACTGCAAATAGCCGACATGAATAGAGGCAAGGGTCGGGAAAGCTCTCGGCCTCCTAGACATCAAAACTTCCAAAATCCAAATCGACAGAATGAAGGGCCAAAGAAGCAATGGGTCTCGGCAAAGAGAATGCCATCTGCCAAAGCTCAGATCAATGGTATGCGGCAAGTAACCGCCGCCGTCGCCGCCGGAGACTACCGTGGCCAGCCGCCTGCTGGTAGAGATTTGATAGAAGTAAGTGGCGTCAATATCCTTCGTCTTACCCTTATATACTCAAATCAATGCCAATTGCACGAAAGCCACTGACACTATACAAGGCTCTGTTTGTGACGTCCCCGAATTGGGACATAAATGCCTCGGAATTTATGGCAGACGATAAGAGAATGGACGATATTCGGAAACGGCATCAAGTCTGGATCGTTCGGGATTGGCCAACCAATCCAAGCGTCCTCAAAATCTTCAGCGAGTCCGTATCTAATCTCCAAGCAGCTATTAATACACTCAACCAAACCTTTCACGACGAGCGCATATCAAAAGACCTTTTGACTTGGGTGATAATCCCCCAGAAGAGCTCGAGAATAACCGAAGACACTCGTATACGACTTTATCCTCATGAAAGGCCTCGAGTAAGTAGGCAGTTTACCGAGCCTAATGACATACCAAAAACTGCGGCGGCAATTCTCCAAGAGCTACGCCCACATATTCAGGCTGCTACAAAATGTCTGAAGAGCGCCACTTGTGAAATCAAGATGCGTTTGTCTTTTGGGCTCCTTTGTGTCGAGAGGTTCAAGAAGGACCAAGCAAATCTAGTCAATTGGGATGAATACGTAATTCTAGTGAAAGATTACTCACGCCGCTGTGGTCTTCCGTTTACTACTCGGTAATTCTCTCAAATAAGCAACCCCCTTCTTCTTCTTCTTCTTCTTCTTCTTCTTCTTCTTCTTCTTCTTCTTCTTCTTCTTCTTCCTCTTCCTGTTCTTCAATTTTTTCGTTTGACTCCTACTGACTATGTTTGAAGCTTTAGAGAATACCGTCTTGCGAATAGCTTTATAACCCGTATGCTGGAATATGATGGCATCGGTGACCTTCGTCTGGATCACAAAAGCACGAGACGCACGTACACCTTGTTTCTCACTATGATGCACGGAAAAGAATTAGTGGTGGAAAACTGGTCGAACGATGAGTCCGCGTTATCCCGAGCTAAGCTTGGTAATGGACACCCAAGGCCCTACATCGACTGGATAGTAACGGCTCCAGATATGTAAGTTTACTATAAAATGCCATCAGGGGCACGCGGAGTACTGATACAAGATGCGTCAGGATGCTTGATTGGAGCCTTCATGCAGAAACGTGGGGATATGAAAGTGTCCCGAAAGATCTCTTAGAACTACTCAAAACCCTAAGGCACAACATCCGCTACAACGAAGATGAGAACAATTTTCTCCTACCCTCTCAGGTAGTAGTAACCAAAGACCCAAGGGACTGGAAAGACCAAATTTACCTCACTCGACTGAAGACATCGTTTATCGCAGAATTTCAAGACAGTCCCTACGTGCTGGAGATAAGTATGACACAGGAGTGGCAAGGACTCAAAACCCGCGCGCCAGAGCAAAAGGTTATATGGCAAATGGACTTTTATGGCAAACACTGGGATTCTGCAATGAATCAAGTTAATCCAGTTGATCAGAGAAAGGATTTTGGAGAAGGATTGAGGAATATCTGGGTTGGGACGGATCCTGATATCTTGAATAGATTTTTGGAGTTCCTTGAGAACTTTTTAAAGGTCCAGCAGCAGGTACACTTCCCTGTAGAGGACCCTGAAGAGGATGAAGTAAAGGACGAATAGCAGCTAGATGCAGAATAGGGCTTTCTGATGCGAGCGGCCATTGGCCATATAGATAGATACGTTACGCGGTTCAATTCATTATTCAATTTTTTTTTTCTCCTTAGCTATATTTCTCAGCTCTGGCCTTCTGATTGAGCAGCCATTATTTTTTGCCGTAAAACTACCAAGTGCCTATGGTTAATAATTGCAGATAGTTTAGTCGAGCTGTGCAGACGTACCTTCTTCTATTGTGCGGACATTCATCTGTTTCGACTGAACAATGCCTTCCAGTTCTTTCAAGTTGTCGCCAAGCTCTTTGACTTTTGAGTTGTAAAACTTCTCAGCTGATTTTAAATTCTGCAGAGGGTTAGTCAGAGGGTTCACCGGCAAAGAGATTACAGGTAGAGAAGCTCAATTGACCTTTTCAATCATGAACCCTGTGCCCACGTCCACCAGAACCGTATCGGTACTCGTCAACTCGCCGCTTACATACAGGGAGTTGGTCAGGGGGACCAAAACCGCCTTCGAGCCTGTTGAATCGCTGCCTTAGCACCATTTCATTTCATTTCTGCGACTTCTTCTCTTCTGCTCCTCTCTGCGCGACTCGTCGGTTACCCAGGGGCGTTTGTATGTACCTTGGCTATCGGCGGCTCGGCTCTGCACGCATCGGAGGCATTCTCTGAATTTGTTTTGGGCGCCGTGGAGCTGGGAGAAGGAGTTGGTGAGGTGCTCGAGCTCTTCCTCGAGCTGCTTCTTGACCTGCGCGAGCTGCTGGGGCTCGAGGGTGTCGAGGTTGACTAGAAAATGCTGGAGTTAGCGCTGCTGCTGCTATTGCTGCTGCGCAATGGAAAAAAAATCTTGGGGAGAACAGCAGGCAAGGAAGAAAGTCGAAAGAAAACTTACTTGCTTCTTTCTGGCCGCTCGACATGGCTGCTCGTGGTGCTTGTTCTGGCGGTATAGTGGAAGCTTGGCCAAGCTGGACGTTGGGAGTCGTGCCCCTCCAAGCAAGCCCGCTATGCGGATGACTGTAGAGGGGCTGGCGATTCTTGTATCGAGGATATGGAACCGCAGCTCAATTCACAGCACAGCTATTTTATCGCGACAAGAATTAACATGGATGAGTAATTTATAAACATTTCCTCATTTGTGGTTTTTTTAATTGTTTGTTTAATGTCTTTTTGGTCTGGATGGGAGATTTGGCGACTCTTCTGTCACTGCTCTTCTTTACAGCTATAGCCGCTCCAGCAGAGCCCTAATGTACTGGGGCACCTCTTCAGCCTTCACGTTCTCCTTTATAAAGAGTCTCCTGCATTGTACTTCACACACACCCCTTTCTCTCCAGGCTTTTCCAAGTACGACTACAACGGGATAGCCCGTCATATCGGCGTCCTGCATTTTCCATCCAAATGCTTCTTTGCGGTCATCCAAAACGACGTCCAGGGCCGTCGCCGAACTTTCAGCCTTTGTTAAGCTGTCGTAAAAATCTAGTGTCTGTTCATTGACACCAGATGTTGGGATAATGACTACCTCAAATGGCGCAATAGCTCGAGGCCAATTGAGACCTTTATCGTCGGTCAGTTGTTCCGCTACGGCACCGAGAATGCGAGAGACGCCGATGCCAAAGCAGCCCATCTGGGTTGGGACTGGGACTCCTGGGTTTTGTGGCAGCGCTACAGATGCCTCAAGTGGCTCGGAATAGCGTGTGCCAAGGAGGAACGTGTGGCCCAACTCCAGTGCGCGATGAACCTCAAGCGTTCCCGACTCACAGCGGGGACAACCGTCGCCATCCGCAATGCGTAAAAGGTTCAAGTCAATGCCCGTTGGTGTTTGTGATATTGATGATTGCGGGATATGGCCATTTGTGAGATCTGCGGGAAGCAGAGGGAGCTCATCTTGGAGGCCTTCAAAAGCTCTTGACAGTCTCGAGTCGATGACGTTTAGGAGCTGAAGTTCACCGTTCTGTCCCTTTGCCTCCTGTAGAGCTTCACTCCAGAATGGTGCGGCGTCACTGACACTTGTGTCTAGCTCTGGAACAACTGATTTGACAGCATGGATATTCCAACTGTCTTCAGAAGGCGAATCTCCGATCTTCGGGTACCACGCATTTACCAAAGTCTTCCTGTCCTTGGTGATGCCGCGCCAGAGACCAAAGTTATACGATGAGATTGCACCATCAATTCTTCGAGATGACCGAGCAGCAGCAACTTCATCATTGGCGGTATAACCGCAATTGCTACAGCTTGCGACTGTGTCCTCTCCAATGGGGTGAGAAAGGTGGTATTCATGGCTGTGTTCTCCGCCCATGTCTCCTGAGCTGGCTTCGGCTACTAATATCGGCAGCTTCAAATCTGAGAAGAAAGCGGAGTAGGCGCCAGCGACGTCGCGATAGGTCTCAATAGCAGAGTCGTGGGTCAAATCGAATGTGTATAAGTCTTTCATGATGAACTCACGAGATCTTAATAAGCCATGTCGCGGGCGGATCTCATCTCGGTATTTTCGTGCTATGAGATCAGTTAGGGCCTGTGAGATATGACAACAGTTACCTAGGCTCAGAGGCTCATACTAATCTGGTACAATTTCAAAGGCAAGTCTTTATATGACTTTAAAGTGCTTGCGACGAGGGATGTGATCTCCTCTTCGTGCGTTGGCGACAGCATGATAGGCACATCCTTGCGATCTTTGAGCCGGAATAGCTTGGTTGAGTATTAGCAAAGAGATGCCAACAATAGTTGTAAACGGTAGCATACCTCAGGAGAGACTTTATCCAAGCGCCCACTTTTGCGCCATAGTTCTTCAGTAGTGAGAGTCGAGAGAGCAAGCTTGGATGCCCCTATATAAAGATATTTATGAGTTGAAAGATACTCTCAATGAGTTTTGAGGTTATTAACCTATGCTTTGCATATGCTTGTCAACGAGACGCTCGATCTTATCTTGAACTCGTAGGCCCAAAGGAAGAAGCTGAAAAACTCCAGATTGTGCCTAGGTTAACGAGCTAGATTAGCAACCCTATTTTGAAGAAGTAGAAGAAGCGCGATATGAGGATATGTTTACCTGGCGAAGAAATCCGGCTCGGATAAGCTTGCCATGACCAGCTACCGAGCAATTAGCTCGACATGACTCCAAAACTGATATGCAAATTGCTTCATACTTTCGCCTTCAGTGGCAGTGACACCACCGGTGGGAACCCATATCTTCGACAGGGTTGATCTAAGCCGGGCGGACTGAGCAAAAAAAGGCTGTGAGAAGGCTCGGATGCGGTTCGAGCTTTGAGCAGCTTTTAGTGGGCGAAGTCCACCACGGTAGATCAAATTTGAAGCATGCATGTTCAGCGACTGGCACTTCACTCCATTCTAGAATTTACATAATTATCCAGAACGATGTTGATTATGCATCTCACAATGAGACGAGACTTAATATGACGGCCAATGAAGAGGCGAGTGTCAGGTCCAAGACAATGAGATGGTCTCTTAGACGCGCAGCGCTAAAAAGTAGCCGCGATAAACGCCCGCATTTTGATGGGGCGATAAGATAAGAAATATTTCAAAAAATACTGCATCGCACTCTGCATCTGAAATTTGAAGTCGCCAATTTTTACCATTCAGACAGCGGCATCTGCGCTATGGCGAAACATTCCAAGAAAAGCAAAGGGCCACAGCGCTCGAATGATGATGCAGCTCGCCTTCAGAATGGGATGTCCCAGATCACTTCTCAAATTGAAGCCAAGTTGAACGGCAATTCACAAAAGCGAAAGAATCCGCCTACTGAAGCCTCTGGCAAGCAGAAACACCGAAAGCAGCGCGATTCCGAGGGCGCACCGGCCACGAACGGTACCAGCGATGATAAGGATGCTTTATTGGCCGAGATCAAGGCCCTGGGGGGAGATGAAGAGGACTGGCACCTGATCAATGAAGTTGCATCTGATGATGAAGTTGCTTCAGGGTCAAAGGCACCGGTAGACAAGAGCCTGAAGGATGAGCTAGCAGCTCTTTCGAAGGAACTTGGTTTCTCCGGAATTATGCCAAATGATGCTAGCGATGAAGAGGAGGAGGAGGAAGAAGAGGAAGAAGAAGAGGAAGAGGAAGAGGAAGATAATGATGACAGCGAGGAGGAGGTCAGCAACAAGAACAAGAACAAGAACAAGGGCAACAGCGAAAACTCCAAAGCCCCAAAAGAAAAAGGACCTGCAGAGAACGAAATGCGAAGGGTTGAAGGCCTGGTAAGTTCATATCCTTGAGTCAATGGCATCTCTGACAACTAACTTAGTGAACTAGATTTTCGAGCCGCGCGCGGACTGGCACGCTGCCAGGTTGGCTCAACTGCCTGGACCTCAAGTCGATGACATTGGTCCCTTCATTTCGGCCATAAACTCACTGAAAGAGCACGGAAAATATCTTTTGGAGACGGAGGCGGCGAAATACAGAACAACCATCTTTGCGTCCTCATCTCACAAATTTCTCGCTACCATCATGACATCTGGTACCCTTACAGACAAGATTTCCGCCCTCACCTTGGCTTGTCAAGAGTCTCCCGTTCACAACATTCGCGCATTCGATTCTTTGATGAATCTGGCTTCCAAGAAAAGCCGAGCCCAGGCCATTGGAGCTATAGGAGCACTCGTGGATATGCTCGGCCCCGGCACAGTGTTGCCATCAGACCGGCGATTGAGGAATTTCCAAGCTCAGCCTGGGCTGCTGGGCTCCCTCCAACGGGCTTCCGCCAAAACTTGGGCTCCAAGCCAGCCGCTTCCCGGTAAAATTACGCAAGCTCATTTGATCTCTTGGGCGTACGAAGACTGGTTGAAGGATACTTATTTCAAAATGATCCAGCTCTTGGAAGTCTGGTGCTCTGATGAAATCGAATATTCAAGAATGAGAGCCGTCGACTTTGTCTACGCCTTGCTCAAGGATAAGCCGGAACAAGAATCAAATCTTCTCACCCTCTTGGTAAACAAGCTTGGCGATCGCGACCGAAAGATTTCTTCCCGAGCTTCATATCTTCTCTTGCAGCTGCAAAACTCACATCCTGGTATGAAGCCGATTATCGTGCGAACAATAGAACAGGAGATTCTCCTTCGACCTTCGGCGGATCATCGCGCACGTTACTATGCCATCAACACCCTCAACCAAACAATTCTTTCAAACAAAGAGCCGGCAGTAGCTGAGTCTCTTCTTCGTATCTACTTTGGCCTTTTCGCTACAATTCTCAAAACCGGAAAGCTTGGAATACCCACAGAGGATGAACCCAACAAGGCCCAGAAATCTGGCAAAGGCTCATCTGGAAAGAAGGGCAAACAGGCAAAGGCTGCAGCCCCTCCAGTTCCCGATGCCGAGGCGGCTGATAAGCTTGTGTCTGCCCTGTTGACCGGTGTGAACCGTGCCGCACCATTTGTAGGCACTAATGATACGGTGTAAGTACTTTTTAAAAACGATTTATCCTATGCTGAGCATGTATGGATGCTAATGAACTTCTCCCTAGTTTGGAACGCCATCTTGATACCCTCTTCAAGATTGCGCACTCTGCCAACTTCAACACCGGCATCCAAGCTTTACTCTTAATTCAACATCTCTCTACGACAAGAAGTCTCGGCAGCGATCGCTTCTATCGGACGCTGTACGAGTCGCTCATGGATCCACGTCTGATAAGCTCTTCAAAACAGGCACTGTACTTGAACCTGTTACTACGAGCACTGAAGAATGATGTTGATGTGAGAAGAGTCAAGGCTTTTGCAAAGCGAATGCTGCAAGTATCAGGCCTCCATCAGCCCCCCTTTGTCTGCGGTTTGCTCTACGTTATCTCTCATTTAAGGCAAACCTTCCCTGATATTTCAACTTTGGTTGAGGAGCCGGAAGAATCAGTATTTGATGACGAGGCGCCTGAGGATCGACCGACATACGATGGGCGCAAAAGGGATCCTGTACACAGCAACGCTCATAGAAGCTGTCTGTGGGAATTAGTATGTTCACTCTCTTACCGTCACACTATATGCACCACGAATGACTAACCTATTCTGCTAGGTCCCTATTCAACAACATTTCCATCCTGCCGTTGAGAAATTCGCCTCTGCGCTATTGGATAGAAATCAGAAAATGATGAAGCCCGACATGGAGAGTCACACTCTCATCAAATTCCTGGATAAGTTTGTCTACAGAAACGCGAAGGCTTCAGATACACGTGGTGCTTCTATTATGCAGCCTCTTAAGGCTGCCAAGGATATTGGTGATATTTGGCTCGGTGGTGGTCGTACCAGCGCATCTACAACCCAAGTCAACTCTGCTGCATTCTGGAATAAGAAGGCAGATGACGTGGCAGCCGAAGATGTCTTCTTCCATAAATACTTCCAGCACGTTTCCAAAGAGCCCAAGGAATCTACTAAGAAGGCACGCGCGGCAGGTGAAGAAGATGGAGACGAAGATGCGGAAGAGGATGAAATTTGGAAGGCACTCGTCAATGCTCAACCCGACATTGATGAAGATGCTTCTGATGCTGGCTTTGACGATTTGGATGAGCTGGATATGGCATCTGACGACGATTCCTCACCCGCCCTGTCACTGGATGGCGATGAGGATGAGGACGACGAGGATGACATGGGTGTGGAATTCAATGACTTTTCAGACGAGGAAGATGACGATGAAGAGGATGGCCTGGTTGCTCCAGATGTGGCCGAGTCAGACGAGGAGAAGGGTGACAAGCGCAAGGCTAGGAGGAAGATGCTCAAGGGCCTGCCGACATTTGCGTCCGTGGATGATTATGCAGAGCTTTTGGCGGGAGAAGAAGAGGACTTGTAAAAATAGACAAAGAGATGTTAATAATAGGGAAAAGAAGTCTTTTGAGGCAGCGAGAAGACTAGTGTCTACGAAATCTTGGAACCTTTTGGTGTAAGTGATATTGAAGTGGCATTTAGAAAGTCCTTTCTTTCTTTGTTCCTCTCTCTCCCTCTCTCTTTTTTTGGCAGCTTGAGATAGATGTACGATAGATGTACGTCGTGAAAATCTTCATGGATGCCATCTTTTCGTGATTATAAAAAAATACCACACACATTGTTGATGGATTTCCGCTCTTTACTTTCATCGCAGCCACGATGAATAATACGGCAGCCAGATGAGGAAATTATATCCGCGGCTCTTCAACCACAGCGAGTTCGGATATGCCGATGGGTCTAAGCCGCAGGGTTGGCTAGAATCGGGCTAATAAGCCACCGATAAGCCATATCAGTTTATCTTATCGGCAAATAAATGCGCCAGCCAAGGCGTGACGAAGGGCCTTAATTTAGGCGCGCAATCGGATCGCATTTGCCTCGGCAATCCCGCTCTTTTAATACAATCTTCCTGGCTTCTTTAATTCTTGTTTGCTTTCTTTTGTCTTGTTTCTGTTACAGAGGGGACGTGTGCAGAAAGGTGAAATTAGGAGAATTAAAAAAAAAGGCAAAGAGACATTTGGCAGAATGTTCAGTCAACAAGTCGCTCGTGGCGGGCGCCGAATCGCTCAAATCGCTCGAAGTGGCCAACAGTCGCCGCTTGCTGCGATTAAGGGGGTTGGTCAGCGACGATGCTATGCTGAAGCTGCTCAAGGTGAGTTTTCACTACTTTTTTTTTTTTGGTTCATTCAGCGGCATACAGAAAGGTTGGCTAACACTGGGGTCTTCTTCTCCCCCCACAGCTACGGCAGCTCCCAAGGGACGAATCGGTCGAGGTCTCGGCCTGATCGTATATGGCGTCGCATTTGGCAGCATCGGAGCAGCAGCAACATGGTATTCAATGGTGCAACAGGGCTTCTCCCACTTCACAGACGCCGAGACATCGACGCTATTTGTGCCCGACACCGACGAGATCCAGCGCATCGAAGACACAATCAACAACCACCCGCTGGTCAAGGAGCTGAGATCACGGCCCGAGTTCAAGGAGTCACGGCCGCACCTGAAGATGGCGAACGGCATCCGCAACCAGAGCCTTACAGCCGGCGTCCTGCAGGGCAACGGCAAGATGGTCGTGCCGCCGATCGCATTCATCGAGGACGGCGGCAAGTCCATCGTCAGCATCTCCTACATTGGAGACCAGGTATGCGGCCACCCGGGCCTCGTCCACGGCGGATTCCTGGCCACGATGCTTGACGAAGGCATGGCGAGAGGATGCTTTGGCGCACTGCCACACAACATTGCCGTGACGGCCAACCTGGAGGTCAACTATCGCAAGCCTACGCCGGCAAATAGCTTCCTGGTGCTCCGCGGAACGACGACCAAAGTTGAGGGGCGCAAGGCGTGGTCTGTAGGAAGCATCGAGACGCTGCCGGAGCCGGGCGAGAAGCCGACAGTCTTGGTCGAGGCGAAGGGGCTGTTTATCTCGCCCAAGTATGCAGCTGTAAGTTTGACCCTCTGTTGAATGGCTTTTTTTTCTTCTTCTGCTTTTTGTAAATGCATAGCGCTGACATGATTATTCAGCTGATGCCCTCAATTGTATGAGCATTTATATGGACAGCGGGCTGCTGAGAGCAGTCGAGAGCAGTCGGGATGACGATGGTGGCTGGGAATTAGAAATGCGGGATGTTTCTTATTTATTTTGATTTTGCATTGCTCTTTTAATACTTATCTGGGGGAAAGCGACAGGAGGCATCGGATAACACAAGATCCAACATACCTATACACTGCATGATGGTATACGTTGGACATATGAGATAATAGATGGTACTTGCTTAGTGCCTAGAGCTCTAGAGTAGACGAAGGATTGTCTTTTATAGCGTTTAGAATCAAGCCTTTGAAATGCTTTGCATCTTGCAGACCTCCACATCGGTATGAACCATGACGTACAAACACTTGAAAACACTACTAAACATATCAATCTACTGCTTACAAAGAAAAAGGAAGAGGAAACAAAGAAGTAAAAAAAAAAAATTAGGCTGGCATAAAAAAACAGCGGGGATCAGATGGCGGAAGTCGGCGGTTTCGGGCTGTCGCCATCAGCCTCCTCGATTAGCACATCAGACCCCTTGGCGTAGTTTGCCCAACAATCGCAAGGAACAACTCGCTTTATATGGGGTAGAATGTGGGTTTTCTGGTTTAGACTGGATTGTAATTTTTTTTAGTAGTTAGTAGTACGCGGAAAGAGGCAGAGAAGTGCATACTACTATGTAGTAGCGGCTGGCGATGACGGCGAGGGCCCGAATGTCATAGTTACAGCAACGTTATGCGGGATTCCAAGCGGCCAAAATGATCGCCCATCTCGCATGTCGCCATTAATCAGCCCTTTATATATCGCATCTCTGTTTCCACACTCTCCTTTCCGTCGACTTCATCCCCATCTGCTCTTACTATTTTCTTTTCATTTTCTTTTTATTTTGTCTTTTTAAAAAACAAGCGATTTGCGTTTTATCGTTAGTCTCACTGGAATTCAATTTCCTCTACACAATGGCCACGTGCGTTAACCCGTCTACTCTACTGCCCCTCCCCCGCCTTGCAGCAGCGAGGCTCGCTCTCCTCCAAAAGCCCATTATCGCGAGTTTCTTATCACTTCCCCGGATTTATACGCTCCTTTGCGCAAATACGTCACACACACACACTCATTACTCACACAACGAAGCAAAAAAAAAAAAAAAAAAATCAAGTGAAAAGCAGCCTCTCGCTAACATCCCACATTCTCCAACAGCAACATCACCTGGCATCCGTCCCTCTCTCGCCGCGAGCGCAACCAGCTGCGCGGCCAGCGCGGCCTCACAATCTGGCTGACCGGCCTCTCCGCCTCCGGCAAGTCCACCGTGGCCACCGCGCTCGAGCAGCACCTCCTGCACCTGGGCCTCTCCGCCTACCGCCTCGACGGCGACAACGTGCGCTTCGGCCTCAACAAGGACCTGGGCTTCTCCGAGGCCGACCGCAACGAGAACATCCGCCGCATCGGCGAGGTCGCCAAGCTCTTCGCCGACTCGGCCACCATCGCCATCACCTCCTTCATCTCTCCCTACCGCGCTGACCGCGACCTTGCGCGCCAGCTGCACGCCCAGACCAACCAGGACGGCGACGAGCCCATCCCCTTCATCGAGGTCTTCGTCGACGTGCCCCTCGAGGTTGCTGAGCAGCGCGACCCCAAGGGCCTTTACAAGAAGGCCCGCGCTGGCGAGATCAAGGAGTTCACTGGCATCTCTGCACCTTATGAGGAGCCTTTGAACGCCGAGATTACGATCAAGACGCACGAGAACACCGTTGAGGAATGCGTTGCGCAAATCACAAACTGGCTCAGCGAGCAAGGCTACATCAAGAGCGTAGAGGTTAAGAACTAAAAGGCATAATCAAATTAACAAAAGTGCGGTAACAAAAGGCGCACTTGGAAATTAAGAATAAGACAGGGACACTCATGATATATGGGCCATAAATGCTATTTGTCTTTGTCACTCTAAACTCCCTTCTTTAAAAGGTGGATTGATTGATATAGAAGGGGGAAACGAGAAAAAAAAGGGAAAATAGTCTTTAGAAGGAAGAGATAACGACAAAACATAGAATACAGGCGCATGACGCTTTTAGAAAGAAGTTCTCTCTATATCCGCTTTAGGGAAATTCAGCCTCATAATAAACAAAAGCCGTGTACTCGTGTCCTTCGCCAGTCCCTAATCCCGCCGCAGCCATCTCTGAGCTAAGGGCGGCGTCGTCTTTCGTGACCCTGCCGTGCTTGTCCCTTCCGAATGCATTTCCACCCAGGTATGAGTACTTTGAGTCCAGCGCTGCCTTTGCCTTGGGGGCCAGCTTTGGCGTCGTCTGTTTCAGATGTAGTTAGTAGACATTGATTAACAGTAATGTGCAATGTAACATCAAGACAAAGAAGCAATCAGGGGCATGGGTAGTTTAAGTGCAATAGATGAATAGCAAAAAGGGGAGGAACATAGCATACCTTGATCAGAGCCGTAGCATAGTCCAGCGGCAATCCGTACCGCAACACGGCCTCAACAAAGACGCGCAACGTAAGGACATGCACCCAGATCATGACGCTTTCGCTCCACCCGGTCCTTCCCATGCGCAGCGCTTCGCCGCATACCTTGCGCTCTTCGTTGGTCACACGATCCAGCTCTCGCTGCTCTTCTTCGCGGCCACCTTCGACATATTTATACTGACGAGGTGTCCACTTTTGCTCTCGGCATTTGTGGACAAACTCGGCGCTGTGCTTCTTGAAAGTTACGACGGCAAATAGCGTGAACTCGTCGTCATGGTCGATTTCTACGGATGATCGGGGCACCACCATGGGTGCGAGGGTTTCGTAGCTCTTGATAAAGTCTTTCTTCGCATTCGTCGGCACGGCGATGAGGTGAGTCTCAAGATACTCTGAGTCCTGAACGAGCAGCGATGGCTTTACGATCGGGGTGAGAGACTTTGTCGCGAGAGTGCCACTGCAGCCGAAACAAGCCAATTAGCCAGGAGCAAATGGGTAGATGCACAGTGCTTACGTTTGTCTCCTTTGGAGCTGCGCAAGATTCGTCTTGACGGCGTTGTACTGGTTGAACTTGGACTTGACGTCGTTGTCGACTGTGTTAAGCTCCTGGATCACGATTAGGATGAGTTTCTCTCAACGAAAAAGACATTGGGCTGGCAATTAGGAAAAGAAAGGGGAGGGTAAAAGGCCATACCTTCTGAAGAGTGCTAATGAGATCAGCAATGGGCTTGTCGGCTCGGTATCTCATCTTATTCCAGCTAAAGTTGCGTAGGTAGTGATCGGTTGGCTCTGCCACAAGTTGTCAGCCCCACCATCCATATCATCCATATAGAAGCGCATATCTGGCTCGACTGACTATCATTGACCATCTTGTACGAGGCCATCCGGTCCTCGTCATTGTTAAGCACCGTGCGCAATGAATCCGCAACCTTGGCGACGACTGACTGGCACGCGGTGTCGAGCTTGGCCAAGTCATCGGCTTGCTGGACGAGCAGGTCTAGAGTTCCGATTTTGAAATCGGGGATGGCAAACGGCAGCACAGTGCCATTGTCAGATGTGATGGTCGCGCTCAAGGACGAGATAGCTTCATCACGGTCCCCAGAGTCGAACGCACTCTGGGGCAGCGATATCAACGCATATTTGGACATGGCGGTGGTGACGAGAAACGGAGGTAGAAGTAGACCCGACGAGGAGACGGCGAGGGGAATAAGGCGAGAGACAAGGAACGAGAGAGAGTAGGACGGGAATGGCGACCAAGTAGATGCAAGATCTCGCGTGCAATCCCAGGTAATGATCGTGGCTTTGGCCCTGAAAGAAAAGCAGCAGCGCCCAAGAGAAGCTCCAACCGACAGCTTAGCTGCATGTATGGATTGCGACGCAGAAGCAGTTCGCGAGCATTGCCTTAGTGAGGTCCAGTGACAGTCCAGCTAGCAGCTCCAGTAGTGGGGGCCGCGGCAAAGTACTCAGTACGAGGCGCTGCGTGCAGGCGACGATCTGAGACAGGCGACGCAAAGTACCGACTACCTCGATTGAGACTTCCCCGTTAAGTGCCTGCCCCTCGCCTTGCGTGGCACAAACTCGGCATTGCGCACGGCTGGCAGCACTCGACGACTCGCATATAGCAATATTCGTCTATGAGATGCTATTCTCCGTGGCGCTGCCGCACCCCCGCAAGTTGCATAAGGAGCACAGCGCTCCGCCAGCGCTAGTCCGCTCTGGGCCGACAACATCAAGAGGAACGATTTGCGCCGTGCACCGCCAACTCTTCTGGTCAGGCCATGGACATGACAACAGCCTGCAAAGCGCGACATCAAGGCGTCTGAAGGCGATACAAACGACCGTTGACCGCCCCGCAATTCCAGACCATGTGAGGCGCCCCGAGACGGCAATTCCGGGGCCAGTTTGTTTGCTCTCGCTCGTCTTCTCATCGTCCTCCGCCAAAACACCATCTTGTCTCTGCCCTAAACCCAGGCGGCCCTCTGCATCCTTCTCGAGCACCAATTCGCCTCGCCCACGCGTGGGCATGAAGTGGTCTGCGGGCGCATCATCCCGGGACCTCTCCCAGCGCCATGGCCGCAGCTACAGGTTCGTTCCCCCGTCTGGTGCCGTTTCCGCCACCGTCCCGGCTCGTGTTGTCGCTGACCTGCTCGTGGCAGCTTCTGCGACCATCATCCTCGGCGATTCGCCCGCGACTGAAGACGTGGCCCCCAAATCTGACGGCGCGCCGGAACCGTCCGCAACTCCCGGCCAGAGGTCTTCGACGCCGATCCGCACTTCTAGTCATGGTATGTAGGCGCAATGCTTCGTTTGGTTCGATCGAGCGCCGTTTGAGAGGATGAAAATACTTATTGCAATGCTCAGATGTGACCGACGGCCCGGATGGAGCCTCCATCCATACCACAGATGGCCGGGTCAAGAATCCCGTACCCAGCAAACTCAAGGGCAAGGCCGACAATAAGAACGGCAACTTTGGTGTGATGCACATCGACATAAATAGCTCACAGGCCGCCCTACGGAATGCTGCCGCAAAGCGCACAAGCGAAGAGACGGAGGCGGCGGCGAGGCTAGCCAATATGCGCGGCTATCAATCCATCAAGCGTAGCAAATTGGCGTGGAATCCACCGACCGATTCAGACCCGCGATCTTCAGCCCCAGCGTACGGAACTTCGCAAAATGGCTATCTCAACTCTTCCTACTCGTTACCTGGACGCACCCTGGGACCCTTACCGCATGAAGCCAAAGCTGAGCAAGCTCGACTCCTGACTCTGCTACGCAGCTTGAATCCCATGGTGGTGGTGGATCAGTTGTGCAAAGCGTTGGCATACTTTGGAGGCATTCCCGGCGCGCCTTCGTCGCACGAATTCGACTTCCCAGAAAGCGGACGCAACAACGGTCAGGGATCCATTTTTGTCGGCTGGGTTGCCGAAATATTTCCTCCAGTCGAGGGGAACCCTTCAGCTCTGGCGCTACATCCGTCTCTACAAAGCGCAGATATAGCCTCTGCCGCTGCTCCTGGCGCCGTCGCTCCAGATGCACCCGCATCAGCTCAGGCTCCAGCTTTATCCGATTCCGCCAACACCACCGCTCCTCCTGCTCATCCGGCCTCTACAGCCTCTCTATCTGAACCTGCTCCCAATCCTTCTGAAGGGCAGAATACCACTGGTGAAGCTACCGCAACTCCTATCAAAAGACCGCGAGGACGGCCAAAGGGGAGTAAAAGCTCCAAACCCCGCATAGACAAGGGCATAAAAAAGTCGGATCTGGCACTGCATCCGTCCAGCCAAGTCGATGGAGCCGGCTCTCAGCTATCTCAGTCTGATTTGGGGAGAAGACCCGATGGATCTATCGAGCAATCCCAAAACGGACTCGCTAACCCTGCGTACCATACCGATATGCCAGGCCATCTTGATCCCGATTCAAGTATCATGAGCACTCCGGGAACAGGCAAGAAGAGAGGTCGCCCTAAAGGGTCTAAAAATCGACCAAAGAATACTCCTGAAGCTGGCCAAGCGGCTGCAGAAACTCCTCACACTTTGTTGCCTGCTTCTTCGACCTCCAATCCCATTACACAGTCTCCTTTATCGCACAGGGCGACTGAGAGCCAGAATAATATCTCATCCTTTGCAAATACGATGCCTCATAGGCCAGAGCAGCATCAACATCCCTCGCCCACATTGCCAGATGGCGCAACAACGCAGCACGCCACACACATGGCCAGCCGTACTCCCCAGGGAAGCCAGACAGCGTTCCCGGCTGTGAGTAGTTGGGCTGGAGCGGCAATGCAATCTTTAGATCAATTCCGCTCCATCAACAATCACTCACATCCAAAGAAAAGGAAGGGTGGTGATCCAGCTCAGGTCGCTAGAGAGTCCTTGGCAACAATCACACCAACTGACCCGTCATCGCATATGCGACAAGGTGATGATACACCGCTACATCACGCTACGTCTGATCAGACTAACATGAAACGCCGACGAGTGTCGAGAGAATCGCTTCAGAATCCTATCTTTAATAGTATTGACTCTCAGCCCGGCCGAGTGGGTATGACCACATCGCCTGTTCTGAATAACAATTACAACAGTATCTCTCAAACCATGGCTTCCAATAGCTTTGATACCCAACTAGCTAATGCTGCTGTGAGACAATCTTCGACTCAACAGCATTTACAGCAGCAGCAGCAGCAGCAGCAGCAGCAACACCACCATCATTCGCAGCGGTCACCGACACAGCCTCAGGGTCAGACTCAGTCGCTCCAAAACCAGCCGCAGCCTCAACAGTATACACCTCAGAGACCTCATCCGCAAAATGCAGGGATGCGGCCTCCGCTGCAGCTTCAGCAGGTTGGACATATGCCACCAGGGTCTTCAAGACCTAGAGCACCTAGCCAGATGTATGGAAGTAGCCCGACGAGCATGTCCTCCCAAGGATTTTATAGCCAGGCTAGACAGCTGCCGGGCCAGCTAGGACATGCAGCCACCAATAGCGGCAGCTTTGCTAGAGGCACTGGTAACAACCAAACTTCGCCGTTCGGATCTTCTTCCAACATGGCAAGGCAGAGCTCTGACGACGCCCGGACAGCAAGCTTATCACAGCAAGCATCTCTGGCAATTTCGCGCAGTCAATCGGGCCATGCTTCCACTGGTCGCCACCCATCTTCTGACTTCGCCAGCAGCCAGCAGGTCCCCGCAACTTCGGCTTCAGCCCCTACGACATCTGGCCTAGGCCATTTCCCGTCCTTCACGGAACATAGCTACCTGGACATGGACTACGGCTTAAATGAGCGCGACGTACAAGACTCTGCAGCGGCCTTCGGCGACTCTACGCCGCTCGATGTGACCTTGGTTGAACCTAATATAAGAGAGAGGTTATATCAAGCCATGGGCCGCCCATAGGATGAATATTTAGATGAATAGTGGCTTTGTTAATCTCTTTTTGTTTATTTATTTTTGAGTCGAGTGTACGTTTTTGGCGTTGTGATGAGAAGAAAAAAAAAAGTAACGCATGGGAGGGAGTTTATCAGCGGCAGAATCTCACCCCCTTTCCCCCCCTTGAAGCAAGACAGGGTTCTTTTCGGAGAATTTTTCTTTTTTTTTCCTTTTCTTTTTCTTGGCGTACAAATGATTAGGATCGGTTTCAGGGAGTTTAGGCAACCAGTGTTGTTTATTTTCCTATTTTGTTTTTTTTCTGGGCAGATGAGACTTATGATGAGAGCGTACATGCATGGTGCTATGATCTTGGTTGTCTCCTTTTTTTTTTCACTCTCCTTTTTTTGCAGCTGGAAATTTGTTTGGGCCATTTGAAACAAAGAGATGTATCTTTTGGAAAAGATGTCTCCTTTTTTTTGGTTTGGTTTACCATCACGGCCGAATTAGGGGGGCAGCACAGCCATAGACGCAATACGACAAAAGTGGTCTATTACATTTTCTAGGTAGTCACACAAAGGGTGTATGTAGTGTGTATACTTATGTATGTTGATATATATATACATAGTACATATATATTTAGTATAAGCAAAGCGTCACGAGCGAAAATAAAAGAGTACATAGCAGTTTTTGATTTGAAATATGTTTTCTGTATTTTTTGCGATCAAATTAAATTTGACCGAGAGCCAAAAGGCTTTTTTCTTCTTCGCTGAAGGTATTGATAATAAAATGAGAGGATACAATACAAAAAAAAAAAAAGAAAAAAAAAGAAAAGGTTGGCCTGTCAAAAACACAAAGAGAGATAGAAAAGTTGGAAGAAAAGGACAGAAAATAGAACAACAGCCTGATTTACCAGATAAGATAAAGACAAGATGGAAGATTTTGCGCAAGATCTATGCATGCGGCTAACAGCTGCGCCAATGCAGGATAAACTATTTTTTAACCCCAGGCATGACAACAGATCAGTAGGCATTTAATAGCCAAAACACAAAAGGAATAAAGGAACAAAGAGGGAAAAAGGAAAAGTCTTTAAGAAGGAAGGGATATGACAAGTGATATAGTAGTAAAAAGAGGAAGAACAAAAAGCCACAGTATAAAGCCCAAGTAATCCACACACCCATTGGAATCCATATCTCGCGGATTCTTCCCATACCCGAAAAAACGCCTCGTAAATGCTTCTTTGTGCCAAAAGGACACACATACACAAGGAAAAAAAAATTGGTGTAAGCAGAAGAGTTCTTGCTTGAGTATCAGAAAAAGATAAGACGCTCGGTCATAACGAGCATAAATATATATATGTATAGAGGAAGAGAGGTGGAGGCGAGCCATATATATCGTCGGTGAGATTGATAAGGGAGATCATTTTAATCTCCATCATCGCCGAGGGCTGCGGCTGGCGGCTTGACGGATTCGGACATATGGCGGCCATAGTACCATTCGTCTTCTTCGTCCAGGCCATCCTCTCCTATAAGGTCCAGCATAACTTGCTGGTTTCGTTTTATATCCTGCGGCCGCTGCACAATTTTTCGATCCATGATCATAGCCTCTGCTGTTGCTAGCCATATTTGCTGTAGCTGTGGCAGATCCCCTAGGAGAGTCTTGGCCTGGTCGCGATCCAGAGGAGCCATGGGCGCATCGGCAGAAAGACTGCTGTTGAAGACGCTGTATGGGATAAAGCCTCCGTTGTGGGTAGAGTCTACTGATCCCCATGGACTCCTTCGGCCCCCTTCGCTGAATGACGATCGGTTCGGAGGTCGGTCGCCGCTTGTTGACTTCTTTCGCCCAAACCCTTTCAATCCCAGCCGGCCCTTGGCAGGTGTTTCAACCATGGGCTCCTTGGTGAGAGAGCTGAACCAAGTATCCACAGCGGCCCGTCGGTTATTATAGCCCTTTGTCTCCCACAATCTTTCCACTTGGCGAAGCCCGCCAAGACATAAAATGGCCACATGAACCTCGTCCGGGGGTCGCTCCCTCAGGTAACCACGAAGGGATCGTTCCACTCGACCAACGTACGTCGGCGGTCGCAGGCGGCGGCAGAATGAGGATATGATGAGTGGGAAAACCTCATGTACTCTCAGCAGCGTCCGGTTGTCGTACATATTCATGATTTCCGTTTCGATCGGGTTCACAGTGTACGGTTCCTTCAGCAGGCCATTTCCTTTTTCCGCAATGTATTTCAGGTGCAATTTTCTGTATGTCTCGAAGAAGTGGAAAACGGTGAAGAGTAAAGGAATAAGTCGTCGGCGCATCCGTTCGTGCTGCGGCGCGAAGGCTAATTTCTGAGCTTCGGTCGTTCTCAGGAAAATGTCTTTTGTGATCCATTCGCACATCAGGTATGACAGCTTAGCCGCAACATGAAGACGATGCCATAGGCCACACAGGTAATGGAAATTGATGTCGGAAGTGTCTCTAAGCGGGTATAGACGAGTGGCATAGGCGGGTATATTATGGTCGAGGTGATATCGTACAATAGGGACTTCGTTGAGGGTGATGAGCGCATGCCACGATTTCGAGGTTAATCGAAGGTTAAGAATATCTGTTAGAGGGAGAGATGAGACGATCTGAATCTGGAGTTCAGACGGTAGTGCGAGTAATAACTGATCAAGAGAAACACTGCAGGTGGCGAAGAAAAGAAAGTCAAAATTAGCATTTCATTAAGCTTGTTGTTGACAGGCTGGAGAAGACAAGACGAACCTTTTTCGCGTCGACTCTGTGGAAGCTCTTGAATGCGCCAGAGACGTAGCTTCCGCCGCATCGGATTTGGAATGTAATAGCGATACTTTTTTGTGTCGGATACTGAAGAAACGGCTCTTATCGCGCTTCGAGTCGGCAGGCTTGACGGCATCGAATTCCGTCGGCTTCGAGTCTCGCAGCGGCAGGATAAATCTCGACGTGGAGGAGGCGTGGAGGGTGGTGGTCGCCGTCGTCGCGGCGCTGGATTCCGCATGTTCCGCCTGCTGCTGGTTGCTGGCACGCAGCTGGTTGAGCTTCTCAAAGTAGCGCTCGGAGGCGAACTCGGTGATGTGAGGCGGATCCATGGCGGCGATGCGGCGCTGATGCTCAGCCATGGTGGGCGATGGCGATGGCGATGCAGGCCGTAAGAACGAGTGACGAGGAGCGATTCTCTGCGGGAGACGAGCGGCCGCGCTGGCCAGCTCGGAGGGTTGAAGGCGTCTCTATTACTGGGCGCAGGGAGAGAGCAGCGGTCTTAACATGGCGGGGATTGGTATGGCGACGCCGCCCGGTAGGGAGGGAGAGAGGAGAGGGGAAGGGGATGCGGCCAAGGATGCGGCGAGGACAGCGCCAGCTCAGTGACGGCTCACGATGCGTCTGTTGTTTTGTCTCGTCTTGTCTCGTCTCGTGCTGGGCCGGGGCGCCTCTGCCACTGTGTCGTCCGTGTATAAGCGCGCGACGGATTCGATGCGGATGCGGATGCGATTTGGAGGTGCGAGGCGGAGAAAAACGAAAAATGAAAAAGCAGGTGCTACGCGATGCTGGCAGGACAAGGCTCTCGACAGGCTGGGCGAGGATGAGGAAATGAGGAGGACCAGGCCCGACCAGTCCAAGTGTGGGAGTAAGGAACTTGCGATAATGGGGAAGAGAAACGAACGGGTGGATGTTGGCATGTGTGGGCAGGTGGAACAGTGGAACGGCCAGTGGAACAGGGCCCGCTAGCAGCGCGGCTTAGTGGGAGACGGGGGGATCTTGGGAACGCTGGCTGGGGGACTCGAGCAAAACGAAAAACAGAAGGCAGAGACTGGCAAAAGGGCCCTCTGCAGGCGCTGCAACCTTTGCAAAGGCTCAATAAGGGCGAGGGAATGCGCGAGCGCTGATTCGCCCAGACGGCCGTTTCGCCGGCGTAATAGTGGAGCGGCACGGAAAAAGGTGCTGGAGCCAGCTTGGGCGCACAGTGCGCGGCGTGCGGGTGCAGCAGGTGCTTTCAGCGCGGAGCCAGCGCTGCGTCGGGTCTCGGGCGCACGCCAAATCAGGGCAGCTCCGTACAGTGCGCTGTCTGCCTTGGGCAACGTCCGGGGCATCTGGGGCTGGCGTCTTTAGCGGAGGGGGGCGCCGCCTCCGCTTCCAAAGAATGCCCCAAGAGACGTCTGCTCAGGTCTTTCGCCCTCTGTGGGGCCCAGGCCAGTCGGGCCGCACAGTAGCGCCGCGAGCGAATCCGCACGATGGCAGGTCCCCAGCGCAGCCACGGCAGGGGAAAGTCTATCCGTGGCAAAGCTTCGGCTGAGACTCGCTGGAACCCGCATGTACATGTACTGGGTGGTATCGCCAAGCCGTGTTGCCAATGGCCAGTGGCCGGTGCCTTTACCCCGAGGTACTTTAGTAGTGACTTCTTGGTGCTCGCACTTGCAGTCGTCGCGTGCGCTGCTGAGATTTTCGCATTTAGCCGAACAAAGCCAAGGCGCACAGTACCAGCGGCGTGCTAGGCCAAAGACGCCATCACAATCAAGCTTCATTCTCCAAGACGTCAGCCCAATCCGCCGGCGCCGCGCAACGTGCGCAACGTGCGCAGCCACGCAGAGTCAGCACAGGGGGAAAGTTTAAAAAAAAAAAAAAAAAAAAAAAAAAAAAAAAAAAACCACCGCTACGGCTTCTTTCCGCGACATTGAATATTCTGCTTCCGCCGACCAGATCGCAGCGCCCCGCTAATCCGACAAAGAGCCGTAGCGCTGGCTGCCATTCAAGCGGCTGCCTGCTCGCTCGCGGTCGTGCTTTGGGCTTGTGCTCTGGCCACGCCGCCATACAAGCACAAGTAGATTGCATGCGTACGAGCCCACTTCACAAATCACTTTCGGGCCACAATCGCGATCCACAGCCGCAAAGCATCCCCGAGATGGTCGTGGATCCAGATACCAGTTCCATAGAGATAAAGGCTACTGTAGGCGGGTGTCGCAAACGCTGCTAGCACTGTTACTAGCCCTACTAGCACGCTGCTCGTCATTCATCGGTCGCAGGGT